AATAAATTGCAAAATCTGAAACTCCAGTGGTTACAATTTGATTGCTTAAAGAAAAGCCGCAATTCAATCTAAAATGAGGAAAGTACTAATTGGATTTTGATTAAGTATTTATTTTAATCTTAAATTGACAAAAATAGAAACAATTGTTTTAAGATTTAGTTTAGCCCTAAGACAATTTTTATAGATAAGCATACCCAATTCCAACTAAAACATTAAATATTTTAACCTTTATTAAATTATGATTAATGTGGTGAAAATATAACAACATCTTTAAGGATATTTGTAATCTCTTAAAACTGTGAAGGAAAAACGATATTTTAAACCATACGACATCCATTCCATTAGTTTAAAAGTAGTAATAGAGTGGTAGTTTACCAACATTTACTTAATAACAAATATGGTATAAAGTAGACATAAGCCTCATGCTCAACTAGCTAAGAATAAATCGCGACACGAGTTATTTTAAATGTCAAAATTTTAACATAATCTATCAGAACATTCACAAAAATGAAGAAAATATATATCCAAGATAAGTACTACATAGCTACTCTACATTCAACAGGTCTCTAGCGATGGAAAAGAGATTTATAATCATTAGCTACCGAAAACCCTACCCCGAATCATGGTGTTTGTCAAAATGACGCGGACAACAGGAAACATAAACGTCGAGTGTTAAGATTAACATGCCTATAATATTAGGGGATCCTCGAGAAATTCCGCTAGTTGTAGAGGAAAAAAATCTAACACATGCTTTTATTCATTTATCGGAGAGTACGGTTTAATGGGCACTGTGAAAAAACAAGCATTAGCGTCGAAAGACGTAGGGCCTGCGGAGATTGGCCGGGCGGGCGGCGGCGACGGCGGTCGCGGGGCGGGTAGGGTGCGCCGTATTGATCCGCTCTCCCCCTCCCACCCGTCCTCACCCCCCTCACGCCGTGCGCCAGACATTTACAGGAACACTGCTCAGCCCTCACCCCGAGCCTCGGAGCCGACACCCGCTCGTAACGCAACCACACCCCTTTTTCATGCGAGTCACGGGATTTTCCAATTCAATTTACTAGACAATCGAGAAAGTAAAAGATAGTCGTAAGGACACGTAATGAAATGATAAAGAAAACACGTAACAGAAACGACCAGAACATTCGCTTCGATAAGAATTTAAGCACGATTACAGAAATGGCTTTTGCGAGACTGGACATTTGAAGATGTCGACGGCGGGCTGTCATTGCGTGTTTTATTTAAGAAGAAAAGAAAATATGCGACATGTTTACTGCCATATAGAGAAGCAGCTTGATTCGATTATGGGCACAATAAGCGAAAGAGCATTTTCGTAAGTTCATTGACTTTGCGAACAATGTGCCTGCGGGCGGCAGACGGGACCGACGCGAGCCCGCCTGCCGCATCTGCTGGCCGCGAAAGATTTTATAGATACCACATTGAGATATGTTCAATATGTGTACTTATTTTCAGACCATATCTGAAAAGCTATTTTGGGCTAAGCTTTTGTTGGCGGATATTTAAAAAAAAATAACAAAACTGCGTCTTAATTATGTTGTTGACACGTTTTCAGATAATAATGAAGTCAATACGATTGAAACAAAACATTGTATTATTTAAGGATTGCCAAAATAAAGTAGCCGTCGCTTGATAAGCTCAACAAAGGTCAATACTATCTAATAAATAACTCGCTTTAATTATAGGGTTCGAGACCTTAGAGAGATCGTAGTTGCATGACAAAAAATTATGAAGGTATTTAAATCTTGTTGATAACATTGTATTAGTTCCAGATGAGTCAGAACAGAATCGATAGCCCTACTTGGCTTACTCATCATCGATTAACAGATTGAAAATAACACGTAAGCGGCGCAAAATTAATGACGCATTTCTCGTGTACTAGTTTGGCGACATACGGTTATAAGAATAAAGGAGAATATTTCTTTAACCATTGTATGGAAGTAACTGAAACACAAAGTGATGAGGGTTCTTAGGCATTCGTGCCGTCGCCTATCTCCAATGATTGATTGATGGATCATTACCTCTCGCATCTCACGGGTCATACAAACGGTTATCGTTACCGACTCCATAAGTTACTTTATAAACTTCGAAATGTAATAACTAAATAATATGTCTATGATACTTAATCTCGTATATGACCGATCGGTCAAGTATTCAAATGCATATCAAAAGATTAATTCACATATAAAAGTCTCGCATTATTATAGTTTATTGGTGCTTTGTACGACAAACTAAGATAGGGGTAGGTTATAATAAGAGGACAATACCACAATCACAATACCGTATTACAAGTATTTGTCAGATAATTTAGTTTAATTTAAAAATCGAATGAATTAATAAATAATGAATCATTGCGTTCACAGGCTATACAAATATTTATGAAGAGTACAAAGATATTGCAGTCAAGTTCACCCACTCATTGCAGACATTGCAGGTAGGTACACCAGCCAGTTATTCGAATCGAGTTAACTCAAGAACATAGCTTTCTAGTGACTCATAGGAAGAGAGCTATCTCGCGCAGACGCTCTCAATAAGGAAGAGGGTAATAAACAAATTCATCTCTCACATCTTATGTGGCTTCGAAGTCCATTAAAATGCACAATGCTGCTCTCTATACCATAGAGTTCCACTCCGTGTTCGAGGGGCAAATGTTATTTTTAGGATTTAAATTGAAATGGCAGCTAAGTAAAGGATGTAAACAATTAACACGCTCTTCTATCAATTCCAACAGGGAGAATACGTACGCTTGGGCGAAATCTTTAAGTACAGTTCTTAAACTTTACGTAAAAATCAAACAAATCCGATTACAATTCAGTAATGACTGGAAACAACGGAAATGAAATAAAACTATCGCATTTCCCCATCCTTCACCCGATCTATACTTACACGTAATTAAGTACACTTAGAAAAAAGAAAGGCACTCATAAGAGGCGTGAGTACGTCGATTGTTCTTGGAAGGCATCACTTGCCGGCACTGACTTGACCTAATTGAAAATAATTGTGTGTTATTCTTTGTCGGATTCCAACTCCAAGACTTATGAAACATTACCCATCTAAAGCCAGCACGAAACCAATTTCGAACGACCCAAATAACCAGCTGTATGTTCATGAATAACTTCGTATTATCTACTGATTCCGAGCGACGTGTAATTGTTGGGTGTCTATTGCATTCAATTAAATAAAGAACCCTTGTCTGCAATGAAACCATTAAATAGAAGACATATTACTGTCAATCAATCATAAAGTATAATAATATGAATACAATATGTGTGTTTGATAAGAGACAGAGTCAACATTTTTATGATATAATTAAATTCCTAATGATTATGATAACAAAACGGTGAGAAAACATAGCCATTACGGCAAAGTAACCGCGTTAAGATAACTCACATAAGATAATTCCTACATAGTTCAGTCTGATACTTGTCAGTAACGAGTATTTAATTGTAGGTCAACAGACTTTAAATATAAGTTACATATCTGGATGGGTACAACTTAAAACAAGTTCCTTATCCTTGAACTTGAGATAGATATTTTTGATATACTCCGAAACAAATCAGTTTAACAGCAAGACTTATAAGACAGATAAAATACGGGATAATGGAGTCCCATAAACTCGGGGATTTGTCGGCTGCGTTGCAATAGATACTGGAGGCTCTGTGGGCGGAACTCACACGTTTTTTCATATCAAGACTAGAGAACTCGTCGGTGGTACCGGTCGGGACCAGTCAGTTCATATTTTCGCGGCAGCTGGCATCGGGTATGTCGCGGTCATTTACATAGTAAGTCGGCGATAAGCGTGCTATATTTAGCACGAGAGGGGATGTGCCCTGCGCACCTCACGGAGCACCTACGCCGCCCTATCCTATCCTGTACGCCTCCATTATACAAACTGGCTTAGTTCTAAATACAAAACAAGAATTTATACGTAAACATGACCAGATCTTACAATTTGACTACAGATGCAGATAGGAGACATACATAAGAATAAAAATGTTATAAATAAGCATAATCTTGTGAAACTAATAAACCAACATCGTACAGAAAATATCAAATTACTTCTTGTCGTTACAGACATGTGGTTAACGAAACGTATCTTTCACAGTTGTTTTGTTATGCCACTCGACAAAACAGTAGTTAATGTTAACGAGAAAAGTGGCAGATAACTCATGTGTCGTCGCAAGTGGCATGTTGATTCGATTCGTCCGTTCATCTGCATTATCTGAAGCAGTAGAGCGATAAAAACGAACAAAGGACAATGTCTGTTGGCGTTTAACTCCCTTTCACGTGAAGTCGCCCGGCTTCGGTTTCATATGACAAAATAACATCAATTTGTTATAGCCGTTAATGCGACGGTAGCGCAACTCCGCGCTTCAGTGATTGCGCGCATGCGTGAGCGCAACTACTTGAGCATCCATCTAATAAAAAAACATATTTTCATATTCTATTGAATATGTAATGATCTAGCGAAATCGAACAAGAATATAAACATACCGATGCGACCATGTTAACGTGACGTAGAAATATAAAACAAAGTGCACCCTTGCCATTCGTTTTTGGCGATCGACGAAGTGTAAATCCGCCACTGGGCGTGTCACATTGCCGGAGGTGGACGCAAGTGTGCGTGCAGAATTTTCAATCGGCTGGGTGCATTAGCCGTGCATCTTGGTGGCGGCAAATGTTAATGAGCCGGTCGAGTCTCGCCAAGGGAAACGGGACTTGTCCTACCGATACTGGGTAACCGGGTTCCAACTCGAAAATTTGCGCAAACATTCCATCGATATTTAAGTATGGTAGTCAGATCCTAAATTTCATAACTATTATTTATGAAAACTTTAAACGTTTTAAATTAATTCTAACACCTACAAATACTAAATGCTTTGAACAATAAATTATATTTACTACATCAAAATACACAATTTTAAAATAACGTTAATATCGAATTGGTGGAAAATAAAAAAATTAGAGGGTAGTTTTACACTCACCAAGCTTTTACGCGAATGAGGACCTCTCCTTCACCGGCTGTAGGTTCTGGCTTCTTCAGGATCTTTACGGTTTTAAGTCCGCCGAAGCCGGTGAGAACGACGGCGCGCATCTCTTTGGGCGGCGGTGATTCCTTCTCCTTTTCTTCGGTGGCCTTCTCGGGAGCGGTTTCTTCTGGTGGGGTTTCGGTAGTGCCATTCTCAGTGGGAGTTTTCTCGGGCGCGGCGGCCGCAGGAGTTTCCGTGCTCTCCGTCATATCTGGTTAGGTCGGGTGCGATCGGAGCGGTGCGGCTAACGGACGCGGTGCGAATGAGCCCGGTTTAACTTAACGGAAGCCGGCCGGTGGGTCGACGCGTCGCGATACGAATGAGTCGAGGGAAGGGAGTAACGCGAGGCGCGCGCACGGCGAGCGAGGGTGCTCCGTCGAGGGGGGGAAGCGGGGCCCGGGCGCCGGGGCACACGCGCGCCACCGAGCGGCGAACAGGTGGCCAACGCCGGCCGGTTTGCTTCCCTCACGCCTCACCCCGCCGAATATTACACTACACGAGACCTGGATTAACTTTATTGCTCAGATGTCCACATAAAAACCTACATTAGCTATACGTCCACTTCGTTTCATACCTATACCGGTGGCGGTACCTCCCGAATCTGTACTTCGACACCGAACGTGACTTGGCACCGAGATCGATATGACGCCCGGCATGAGTTACACGATGTTTAAAGTCTAGATTACTTCCCATTTAACGTTAGTGGATTTCCCAGTGTATGCAATACTAAACTTCTTAGATTTCATATTGAGTAAACTAATCGATAAACGTCCCTAATAAAAACAATACACGTCGGTAAAACAACTCTATTTTTTAACTACACCATGTTAACGTTATCGAAAAAAAGATGAATTAATGTTATTGGATTGTAAATAGGATAAAAATGAGGTTGCTTTCATTTAACATGACCTTCAGGATCCTAGCAAACCCATAATTGCCCTAAAACGAAAGTAAAAAAGTTGAAATATTTAATGTTTTTGCATTGTAAATAACGTAACATTGTTAATATGATAAAAACGAGGTTGCTATCAATATGACCTTCACAAAATAAAATAAATAAATAATCACCTTCGTTTACCGCATGAAATCTGTATTCAATCAGAATAATACTGGTAAACAAATAATATCTACAACACTTGATGGATATGTTTCTACTGCTTTGATAATCTAAAACCTACCACTATTAATTATAATATTATAAAGAAAAAGAAAAAAAGATTAGATTGCTTGTTTTGAAATTACTGGGCCGATTTCCGATTCTTTCACCTACTAATCTACATCATATGCGGATGATATATAATTTTAATAAATACACGTTAGACAATATCACATAAGTTATTCAGTTTCCAAAATAAGTAACTAAAGCACTTGTATTATGGACATGGACAAAGGTAAGACAACACCCAGATCCTGCGACAATATCGAACAGTCCATTTTCTACATTGTCCCTAACGGGGATCGAAGCAGGAGCCGGAACTTTAAAACCAGTGTAGGAATCATTCGATCACAAGATTAAAAATACAGAATATACGTAAAAATTCAAACAGATTTATTCATTATAAATAGCTTAACATTAACATATAATAACAACAACATAAAAATTCTAACTTAATTTATCAGGTCGGTCTATACTCGGCATTTTAACTTCTTCGTAATCTAAATAATCATCTTCATCATCATCACTGTAAACATCACTTTCATCATCCACATCTTGGGTTTGATCAGTCAATAATTCGTATTGAATCTGCAGCTGCTCACGATCATTGCGCATTTGTTTCCGCAGCTTATTTTGCATTATCTGAAAACAAATTAACAACATTAAAACCCACTCGTAATGATCTAAACTAAACAACAGACCGATTTACTAATAATATTCGTGCGCTCGATGGCGCAATATTTAGCGAGTTACGTCTGCGATACGGATATTAAGCAACATTCGCAAGGGCCCGTCATAGGATAGGCGACTAAAAATTTGTTATCTCTAGATTTTCCGAGCTTCGAAAAGTGATGCCCAGGCAACACTCTGCAGAAGAGGCTGCAATGGGGAAGGGATAGCGTGTGAGTCTAGCTTGCAAGGACGTACTCCGTCTGGGAAAAGGCTGTTGTTCACCTAAGTCTTTTCCTTCGCGCAGAGGGCGCTGGGAGAGCAGTCCCAGCGCGGTTCGAGACCGGGGATATCCTATTATTACGTACTAATACAAAATGAGATAAATATGTTTCAATGATAAAAATACAGTAGATTTGTAATATAATATTATCTTATATTAAGACGGGCGCTAATTTTCAACAGTCAATTCGAAGCAAATATAGTCTATATGTCGCAACCAACGATGCATTCAGCTACTCCGCTGTTCGAAGGTCAGCTATTTAATTAAAGGGCTAGTCGCCCAATCGAACGGCTGATTTACCCAGTTGGCTGCGACATATATTTTTTTGTTTGGCAGTATATTTTTTTTTTGTTTGGCGACATATATATATATATTTATATATATATATATATTTATATATATATATATATTTTGTTTGGCAGTCAGGTAAAAAGAAGAGGGAGTGTCAAGGTGTTGCAATTATTGTTGATGATTTCAGAAAAAATAAACCGAGATTATAACATATAAATTGAACTCATGCAAAGCCAGTAACTAGTATATACTGGCTAAATATAGAATTTAACTTAAATACAAAACAACAGCTAGATAGATTAATAAAACTAGAGTATCAGGTAGGAATATCTACTCCACTATAGTGGAGTTTAGATTACAATCTACCAAATAAAATTATCTTGGAAATAAGATTAATCTTCGGTTTGAACAGGCTAACATCAATCAAAAGCTTGCAAGCGAAAGCCAACCTCGAAATCACATTAAAGGCTGGGCGTTAAGAAAAAAGTGGAAACGAGACGAAATCAATGAGGTAGAGAGAGAGGGACAAAGGATGGCGTAATGCAGCACATCAAAAACTATTTATAATTAATTACTCGCAAACTATTATAATTACTTTAAAAGTGCACCGTAAAACCTGCAGCTACATAGGGACTCGCATATTTATCAATTTTCCTTATAAAAAACAGTATAAAAACTAGAAGAAATGGTGAATTTTAAGACCAATATTGTAATTTTTTCTATAGAAAAAAAATATATATAATATATATATTTTATATATAATATATATAATATATTCACTTTTTCCCTCTTTTTTTATTTTTAATTACAGCCTATTTGAAAATTATTTATTTTCGTATCAAGCCAATTGTAATTTGTTAGTAAATTTTCGTGTACACGCACTCTTAAAGGCAAAATCAAACTTAGTACACCTAACCACTTTCACGTTATTAAAGCTAACAAAGATTCATTTGTGACAATCAAATTTTCTATTAATAATAAATTTTGTTAAGATAATAGTAGTACTAAGACGTATTATCGATTTAAGACGATAAAGAATCACTATTGATGTTTTGGACGGATTAATATAATATTGATCAAAAATATATTAAATATTAGTCAACATCACAGACATTGTTCAGATTCCAAGATGAGTGCTAAGTACCTATTACAGATCTGAAAGAACGAAGGTACCGCAACACCCAGACCCGAGACAATAAGCAAAAGTTAATTTTCTAAACGATAGTGGCACCTTGAAACCGGCGTGCAAACCACACGGCTATGAAGGTCGTCAATATATATCAGTATCAACATGATGATAATGTTGGTTGCAATTCTGTTGATACAAACAAGTCTAAATTTAGTTATAATCCGAACTCTGTTTACATTTTTATGAACAATTCAGATAACAGAAACGAAATCGATATATGTTGTAATACAACATATACTTTACTGCCCTGCATTTGTATTAAAATCCAGACCCGAATTCATATTCACTCATGTGTCCGAGTGTAGAAATTCTATTGATTAAATATATACTTATTTCAGATATTCTATTCCTATGTCTTTTCAAAACTCACTTCACTTGTGCCTCGAAACGTTATTCAACCAATTGAAAGTTGAGCGGATGCCGCTTTTTGAAGTGAATTCGGAAACCTGAGTGAATTCCAATTCGGGTTTAGATTTTTACAGAATCGCAGGGCTGTTCCCAGCGCGCTTAGAATGAACACCAAATGTCACTTTTCTCGGGTTGAGAGTAAGATATCGTATGGGCCCGAGAAAAAGTGTTACGAATCCTACTGTTTTTACCGTAGATTTGCTATATTCACATTGATGTTTTCTGTTTCATTCCGAATTTTTACAATTCTAACGTTACGACTAGCGTGTGTTTTAAATCCGCAATGTATGTCGGATCAGAAGAGATCGCAAGGTTCCGTTCACAAACTGTAAAAACGAGACCGAGTCAGTTATTATTCCTGTATAATAATTATGCTCTCTTCAGATACTGGTCACCTCAATAAGGGTTAAACTTTTATGGACTCCAAAAAGATAAGATGTTTATTCATTTTATAAATAATTAATGTGACACAACCTACTGTAACGTTAGATATCTCTCTGTTTGGCATTGAGAAAATACAACGTGAAGACAACATTAGAGGTGTACCAAAGGGTTTAGCCGGATACGTATGACGAGTCGGCCCCCAAATGGGAATCGATATTGAAACTTATGTTTTAATATAGACTTGATGTTCAAACACGATTTATGTACTTTTCGCGACCGACTTCCGCTTTGACCTTGAGATAGAGAGCAAAATATCCGTATGCTTGACTATTACTGAATGTGATATATCTCTGAAGCTAATTAAGATAAAGAAGTGAAACTAACGCGAGGTGTTAGGTTACATTACAGAGTATATCACATATATTTTTTTATAATTTTTAGAATAAAAAATTACATGAAAAAAATAAAAATAAAAAAAAACATGTTTTTTTTCTGAGTTCTCTGTGACTTACAATCACGAAATTAATATATGTTATGCTCCTTTGTGTGCTCTATCACCCATAAAAATTGCTTGAAAAAAAAGTTGGTGCAACACAACGAAAAAAAATTATATGTGATTCGCGCCTTGTAGTGTGAGTGTATAAACAAACAAGTGCGAACTTGTTATCGAGCTGTTTACTGCATCGTTTGTTTAGATAAAGTAGCAGTCATTTATATTACACAAGAATTACACAAGAAGGCAGTTTGGGACTCAAATTCTGTCATAGGTATTTTGTATCAGCATTTTGAAATTATTAACTATCGAACCATCATTACTTAATCATTATTAAGTAATAATGTCGACAAAGTGTAAAAATTGTAACAAGTACCTGTGTAAGATTCCTGGTTATAAAAAAATTATAAAGAATGAAGAAGAAGCTAAAGTGTTTAGTGACTGTTTGAATAAAATCGTAATAGTTAATGATATTTTTTGTAAGAAGTGTCGACTTATCCCATATATTATCAAAAAAGCTTCTACTTTTAAATGTGCAGCATTTAACTTGGCCGAAATAATGGACGATCAAAATAATCTCTCAGTACAATATGTGAAATCAGCACCTAATATCATCAAAGCAGAAGTAAAATCAAGACATATAAATAGAAAAGTCTATCGAATTTACATTCACTATATTTCCGAAGGTAATGACTAATAGTATTCTTCGTTATTGCTGTGATTGCCCCAATGGCGAACGTACAGTGGGATGCTGTTCTCATGTAGCAGCTATTATTTATTATCTATCATATGGATGATATTTGTCCAAAATCGTACGTCCTGCTGAGGTCCTAACTAAGTTATTTGCGACTCAAAGTGTTCCGATTGTAATTAATTACAACAGTGACGATGATTAATATTTTGTTTCTTGTATTTTGATAGACACGAAAAAGTAATAATAATAAGTATTGAACACTGGCTGTTTTTTTTTTCATTTCTTTTTTGACTATTATCCCATCTCTTAACACTAGTTACTTATGTTTTAAAACAAGCTGATGTGAAATTTCGAAAAAAAAAACAATGATGTAATGTGAAAACCTTATAATACAGGGGTATACCATAAGACAGAAATCACATATAATTTTTTTTCGTTGTGTTGCACCAACTTTTTTTTCACGCAATTTTTATGGGTAATAGAGCACACAAAGAAGCATAACATATATTAATTTCGTGATTGTAAGTCACAGAGAACTCAGAAAAAAAAACATGATTTTTTTATTTTTTATTTTTTTTATGTAATTTTTTATTCTAAAAATTATAAAAAAATATATGTGATATACTCTGTAATGTAACCTAACACCTCGCGTTAGTTTCACTTCTTTATCTTAATTAGCTTTAGAGATATATCACATTCAGTAATAGTCAAGCATACGGATATTTTGCTCTCTATCTCAAGGTCAAAGCGGAAGTCGGTCGCGAAAAGTACATAAATCGTGTTTGAACATCAAGTCGATATTAACACATAAGTTTCAATATCGATTCCCATTTGGGGGCCGACTCGTCATACGTATCCGGCTAAACCCTTTAATACAAATCCGTTTAGACCGTTTGATGTGATTTTCGCACTGATAAAATATCAGTAGGATTCTCGAAACTTGTTATCCCAATCAGTAAAATGATTCAGTCAAACCTAGTTCTTTCATGATATGAAATATTTTTACGACTACTTTGATTATAAATTGAATATTCATCACCAACAAAACAGATAACGATTTATTAAGAAATCTGTTACTAAACTATCGGATTTTCAGTCGCTTTATCTCATACTTTTCGTTATCATTTACCTACAATTGATCACCATTCTATTCCTGCAATTGGTGTTAGATATCAATTATTCTTAGTTGAGGATCACTGATACATAATTGGTTAGTTAATTTCTTTTTGTATTAACTTCCGCAAAAGGGGCAATATTGTACGTCCTACGGCGGTTTCGCACTAAGTCCGATCCGAGTCCGAATCCATTAAAATGTGAAATCTAGGTGCATTCTCTTCTGCTGGACGAAGCTTATAAGTAGCTTTTTACAATCATCACGCAGTGCCACGTGGTGATTGCAAAAGAAAACTACAATTACTACCTAATGAGTGTGTCAACTTTGCTCGTACGCAACTTGTACTATGGTTACTTCGGTCCGTCAACAATTTTCTCCGGAGATTCGGATCGGACGTAGGCCGTGTTCAAACCAAACTGACTAAGCCGCCGAAAGTGAGCGAACGTTACGCAGTTTATTGTATTTCCATACATATTCAGTTTTCCGTTCACATATAACCGACAATACGTTATTACGCTATGCGTAGACGCTGACATTCGGCGGCTGATTAATATAGCACGTCACTACGCTCCGCGGACGCTGATTGGCTACGTAGCTAAACATTAGCGTATTGGATCCAGCTCGGCCGGCGGACTCCAGTCAAGAATTGCACAGAACAGTACCACAGAATACGTATTTCGTCAAAATATTTTACAGACATGCGATAATGTTTTTTGAATTTATCAGGGTAACATCTGTATTCCAAATATAAAGGATGAAACTGACCAAGATAACATCTCTTTAAATTTAAAGGATGTACCCAAATTCTCTTATTCCTTTCTTCATCTTCCTCAAGAGCTTCGTGAATGGCCAATATCTTAACGAACATTATTCAGTTAGCACCCCAGTCAGCAGTCTAGAAACACGTACCGAGATATACTGCTTAAATTTCGAATCACTGAGCTCTTTTATGTGAAAAATAGCCGGCCGCTCAGCGTATGCATGCGGTGTGAACGTATACAAGCCGACTGGTTTGTTCACACCATTGACGTATTGTAAGCTATAAGCGTATTGTCAGCATACTGTGAACGAAAAATGTCGTTTATTTTCACGTTTACACTGGGGCTCATAGTAAGCCTGCTCACATTCGGCGGCTTACAGTCAGTTTGGTTTGAACACGGCCGTAGTGCCGAAACCACTCTTATGCAAAAAATACAGATACAATTCGAATACAAGTCTATGGTGTTCTTAGTAAAATTTTGACAATCTTTTCTTGTTTATTAGGGTATAATGCAAAGTTGCTGCCATAAAATTATACCTACTTAATTTTAACTTCGAAGTCGAGCTGTTAATTTTGACTGAACAAACTTAGAAAATAAAAAAGGTTTAAATAATATAAGATTTGATTCATTTGACGTATTAGTTAGTGTTAAATCTAAAATTGACCTACTTCCCGGCTTTCGATTGAGCTGAAATTTTACATACACCTACAACTTCGATGATAAATCAATATTAATATGGAATGGAGCTGATATATGTAATGTTAGAGACGGAAGGTAGCCATGGGACATCTGAAATTAAACGAAACAACCCCATCGAGTTTGGACTCATTTTTTATGTCTCTACGATGACTTTGGTCCAAGATAATACCCAGGGTCACGGTGGAACAGGAAAGTGGCCATGCAAACTTTGTAATTAAATAACATAACCTTGTCAAGTTTGGACTCATTTGATGTGTCTTTTTAATAACTTCGGTCCAAGATAATATCCAGGGTATAATGATGGAGCAGGAAAGAGGCCATAGAAAGTTTGTAATTAAATAACAACCTTATCGAGTTTGGACTCATTTGATTTTTGTAAACAAGATCTTTGATCCAATAAAACCTTGGTTTGAATTTGAATTGAAAACAATTTTTTAAAATTTTAGTTGTTTAAATTAAGCGACGCAATAAAGAGTATATTTAACCGGTCGTGATAATGAACTATCTAAAATCAGTTGTTTCTCTCCACTACTGATTGTGTGTGGTCTTTGATAATATGTTCATAAATAACATGTGCATTATCGGCTGCAGCGCACACAATGGAATTCGAACAAAATAGAATAACAATGACAGATTTAATCAAACACGTAAATTATCGCAAAAACCCGAATAAAACGAAAACAAATAAATACTTAAAACTCTCAAATATTTTATTTTATAAGCTTTACGAAGAAATACCATTTTACCACCTTTTCGTGTGGTATTTTTCACTTTCACTAAACTTTTTAAATTCGTTAAACTTTTTTAATTCAAGCTGTGATCATAGTTAATTTATTTCATAATTAATTTTGTTCTGTTTACAATCTATTTGTTGTTTTTTCTTTCTTCTTGTGGATTCAAGCGCGTGGATATTGGTGGATTAACATATAGCGCCATACTTAAATTATTCTGATTGGCTTATTTTCCACGCTTCGAAACAGTGCTGGATTAACCACGTAGCAAAAATAGCAAATGCTAAGGGCCCCGTGCGTTTGGGAATCTCTCTATAGTCTGACGTATAAAATATTTTTTCGAGTGTTTAAGAACGAAAGAAATTAGAAAAGTCACGCTTCTGACTAAACTCATATTTTTAAGCATAAACATATACTGACAAATAAAACACCAAGTCACAGATTAGTTGTGTTGTGTTATTCGGAAGCAAATGACGATGTTTCGTTTGCAAAGTTGATTCTGATTCTGATTATTCGCCATCTTCATAACGTACCATTAGTTTGTTATTAAAACTCAAAACCAAGTAGGCGCGTATTGATATTCACTTTGTAGGTTAAATTGAATTGTATTGGCGGTAACTTTTATAATGAAATGATACAAATCCCGAAAAGTGTGTTTGTAAGAATTTTCTTTTATTTCAATTATACACCCAAATAAATCTCAAGAAAAACAAAATTATCAAAAAAATTGGCACCGCTCTGGCTTTATCTAGCACTGCTTCGAAATATTTTCTGCGCAGGTACAGTCAACTGCACGTCAAATTGGCCCACTCGAATTGTAAACCTTAATATATAGAGGGTACAGGTCAAAATTCAATCCATAAATTTGAGATATAGTGGTAAACTGACATGCAGCCGTGTGTACATCAGGGAGTAACATAAGTTGTATTTTACTGTACTATCATTGCCGCACATTTTGACGTTTACAACTTACCAGGGAGCTATATAGTCTAATTTAATTGCCATTGCAGAAATTACTCTAACTAATTTCTAGCAGTTGAACTAGCATGCTCATTAACTATAACTACGGGCTATGGAACATTTCCCTGCTATAAAATTATCATATCCTAGAAATGACAGATATGAACGAACTCACTCAAAATATGCTTAAAGTGTGCACTCAAAGTGTGCAAATTGTCCAATTTCAAAAAATATCGCAATCAATTAACGTGAAATCAACGATATAGTTCATTATTTTTTTTAAAGAAACGATGCGATCATAATACCTTGTCAAATATCTTTCAAATGTCAAATTGAAAAGGATAACGCTAGATTTTTAAATTAGACAATCAGGTCCCTGCTCTCTGAAAAGTGGATGGGAAAAGAAAGATTAAACAAATATGCCGGAAGATCCGTCGAACGTCACACAGAATTATGCAACTGATTATACGACGAGTGTGCAAGCTCGAATGGTTAGTTTTATCACTGTGCAACCTAATTGAAAGAAAAGATGATTTAACTTAGAAGTCAGATCAATTTTCAATTAACCTAACATAAATAATAACATAACTTATTATTTTTTACATATCAAATTATTTTAACGAAAAAAAATAAATATAAGCTGACACGACCACCAACTAGCGCCATCTCCTTTAAGCTTTTCAGATTAATTGCTATTCTCAACTTTAATTATAATAGTATAATATAATAATATTAATTGACAATTCCATATTACGAATTAAAATACATACTAATAAAAAATCTAAATATCCATTATTCATTATTATCCATTTTATACATTATTATATACATTATTTAATATACATTATTATCCATTATTTTTCAAAATAATAATGGTAATTTTTTATTTTTTTATTTTATGTAATACTTAATTAAAAATATACAGATACGGGAAATATATATATTTTAATGTTTATTAACATTTGTTTATTAAAAAACTGTGGATGGATGTATGTATGTTTGTGTCTCTTTATCGCAAACACTACTGCAACAATAATGCAATTCGGTATACGGATTGTTCTAAGCATGAATTTAAAGTAGCGACGTCTTTATAAACATCGCTTTTATTGAACTCCGACGTTAACAGATTAAAAGAAAGAGCAAAAACTTCAATATGATTCATGTAATACAATATTACATTTCGTGCATTGACTGCAAATTTTCCCTGTATATAATACTAGCTTTTGCCCGCGACTTTGTCCACGTCGTAAAGTTACTTTGAGCAGCATTTCTAACGAATATTTATTCATTATATCGTGTCAAATACCTGAAAAAAAGTCTTATCCTCTTAGCTTATGCCCTAAGGGGTGGAATTTATCAAAATCCTTTCTTAGGGGATGCTTACGTCATGATAGCTTTATGCATGCAAAGTCTCAGCCCTTAAAATTGACAAAGTTTCATCCCCTATTTTATCCCCTTGGCGATTGAAATGATCAAAATCCTTTCTTGGCGGATGCCTACGTCATAACATCTACCTGTATGCCAAATTTCAGCCCAAGCCGTCTAGTGGTTTGGGCTGTGCGTTGATAGATCACTATGTCAGTCAGTCACCTTTGAGTTATATGTATTTAGATTATTTTCCCGTGGGAATGCGTCATTTTCCCGCTGTAAAAAGTAGCCTATGTCCTTTCTTGGGTATTAAAATATCTCCATACCAAATTTCATGCACATTGGTTCAGTGGTTTAGGCGTGATTAAGTAACAGATAGACAGAGTTACTTTCGCATTTATAATATTATATATAATAATATATATAGTATAGATAAAGTAACAAAATAAATACCTGTCTTTTCAACAAAAAGTCAGCTAGTTCTTCTCTTTGGTTGCTTAAGTTATCTTCAACTGGTTTCACTGCAGAGGACCTATACGATATGACGGTGTTATCTCCATTAACGTCGACGTTATCCCATGCGTCTCTAATTTTCTTCCTGGCCGCGACTAGTCGGCTCAATATCTTATCGTGATCCAAACCGTACACGTTGTGGGTCATCTCAGGAACCGGATCATCTTCAAGAGGTATCTCGGCTTCGAGTTGTTTTATTTTAGCCTACATAAAAACCACGTAATTTATTTTCTACTTGCTTACTCATATTATCTTTCTTATTCTGCCAAACATACACTGTTTATAGTGCTATATAAAATGCTATTATAACTATTAGTGTATTAAATTTCAGCTCAAGCCGACCAGTAATTTGTTGATAGATCAGTTAGTTAGTTGCCTTTGCCATTTATAGACATATTTGATTTATAAGTTCATTGCTTACTTTCATCTCTTCCGAGAGTCTAGTGTTCAATGTAAACTCTGTCTTGAGCAAATGTCCTATTTGTGTTTGCTCATAATCATCACCATAATCAGCAACAGATAAAATGCGATCCAGCTCAACTACATTAGCTTCTTGTTTATCTGCAACATAAATAATAATATTATAAATAAAGAAATATATAAACATTACAAAATTTATCTGTATATTTCACTCTCAGTGTTACCCCCAAAAGATTGCCATAGCCAAACACACAAGAAAAGATCAAAAATCATCTATTTCCAAGAAAAAAGCTTACTTAAAGTTATTGGATATTAATTAGTTTGACATGGAATTGGCAGATTCGAATAGGGATAATTTTGAAAAAAATGAATTTCCCTGCTTCCATGAGTAAAACTCCCCAAATTGAGTCAATGCCTCAAAATATAATTGTGAAACGTGATTAAGTGGAATTCTATTTGTATGGTCGCACATAAGCATGTATGTTTAGAGCATGTATAAGCATGTAAGTCAGATATTATTGTGGGTTTCAGATAAAATGGAGTTTACTGTATTGTAATGACTGAACTTTTAACCATAAATACTAAATTCCTGTACCACAACCTCCTGAAAAAACTAAATATAAAATAAAGTTAAACTAACAAAAACATGGTGCAGGTCACAGTGATGCTGTTCTATTCTTTAATTTCTGTTGTAATATCCATGTTTGTATAAAGTACAATATAGATCAAGCAGACCTATACCACCTTATCAGATTTACCACACCTGATGCTGTTTCAATTCACTGGGACAATGTTAGTACCTTCTTTTACCCAGTAATTTATTTGTTTCAAAAAATATAATAAAATTTTCAACATACCTTTAACAAAGGTAATGTATGGGACCTGCCCCATTACACTTAATGTAGAAAGCTCATGCCTGAGAATGCCAGAAGTCCTTTTTAAAACTGATTCTGTCTCTTCATCAGTAGCGGTTCCCTTGCACACCCAAAATACTCTCACAGATTGGTAATCAGGTGTTACTTGAACCTAATTTTTTTTCATAAATGAGGTATATTTAATTATGTTATTAAGACTTTTAGCATATGGACAAATTAAAAAATAATAATAATAAAACTAGAGAAACTCTGAATATTAATTTGTTTTTTGGCATCTTTTTCACTATTTGTATTCGGCTGAATTATTTGGTTTTGGTGCCAAATATATTCGAGTATATCTCATTGTTTACTACACAACATGGTATAGTACTAAAAAATCCTATGAGTAATGTGCTCAATAAAGTTAATAAAATAAAATAATTAAACTTCAGCAAAAATCTCTCTAAAAAAGATGTAATGGGTTAAAAAGGCTTATAATTTGCAGTTATTAAAAAATTAAATTACTAGAGTCAAGGATCACTTAAATAACCAAACAACCTACATTCTGAAGTTCATTGTTGACAAGACTTCTTGTGTTTATTGTTAGACCTAACATTAATAAAGTTAAGAAATAACATAAAATTGATAAAGCTGAGTTTTCTCTATCAGAAAAGTCATATTTGATAATTGTTGTTTTGTAGTGTTATATAATTATCATGATGGTTATCAATGATAATTATCACTCTGGCAGTAGATATTTAATTTTATTTAACTTTACAACAAAAACACGATCACCTTAACATTGTGTGAAAATAACTGTCTGTCTGTAACATTAGGAAAGCTTTAAATTCTTTTTTCTCCTTTGTAATGGACAAACTTAAAAAGTAGTTTCCTGATTTTCATATTTTTAAAGACAGCAAAACAAAAATACAGTACAAAGCAATATCAGCCATTAAGTTCAAATGATGAAAATACCATAATCACAGAGGTCTATATTGCAGCCTATAATTTGTAATTGTGTAAAAGTTTTTATTCTATTAACAAATATTTTGCTTACAGAATTTAAAGTGAACTTAACTACGAGTATATTAATGGTAATAGTATAGGCATATTGTTCTGACATAAAGTGTATAATGAACTTATCTATTCAGCAGCTTAATGATAGCTGACATATTTAATAAATTTTTATAAAAAATAATAGTGATGTACATTTGTAATTTTCATGACATATAAATTAATTAAATTTCTATATTTGCGTGCATAAAATTGGTGTAATATGTAGTGGTACTGACATAATGTTAAGATCTAATGTATTATGACCATGTTACCTGTGGAATAAAATATTTTGTATTTGAAAATTTCTGACACATTTATTAACTTATATTAGTTATAATCGAAATTATTTATTATTAGGGTAAAATACTTACTTTTGAGATTTCAATACCTCTGCCTACAATATCCATGGATACTGTACCGGTTGACATAAGGTCTGTAATTTGTTTCATGAACACTTTGTTCAACATAGCCACTCTACGGTTTGCTCGTTTGCCTGGTTCATATTTCGTTTTGGATAAGCTTTTTACGGAAGGTAAAGTATCAATATCTGTTGATTGAGCAGGATACCATTGTCTGAAAAAAAAACATAACCTCTTTATTTGTATACAACTGTTGTATATGATTCTAACTAGAAACATTATAATACATACTTTTTCGATTTTGGGTTTACCATTTTTGTTAATTTTAAACCTAGTTTTTTGATACTGAACAGATTGTGTGTAACATGATAAAACCGTGAAGAGGTTATCATTGTTATAACTTGCGAGTATTTCTTTTTTCAAAAAATTCTATGCAGAATTATCTACACTTAATAAATCAATCTTTAACTTTAACTTCGAATACTACTAATTTTCAAACAAATTCACAAAACTGCACAACACCCAGTGTATACATATTTCAAATTTTCGCACAATTTATTGACTATAGCGATGGGCGATTATTACTTAAAAGAATCGAATTAGTCGATTGTTCGTCTTATTAGATAAAAGTCGATTACAATCAATGTTATTTGATTGTTGTAATAACTTTATCGTTAAATTTACTGAGACTTCGCTGTCCATCCGTCCATCCGTCTCTCTGTCACCAGGCTCTATCTCATGAACCGTGATAACAAGACAGTTGAAATTTTCACATATGGTGTATTTCTGTTGCCTCTACAACAACAAATACTAAAATCTAAAATTATATAAACATTTAATAAAAACACGTTTAGAGTAAAATAATCGATTGTTCAGAGTGATTTGGATTGCCACATCGATTCTTGAATCGATATATGAAATCTCGACTAGGATCAATTCAATTGAATTCAAGAACTAGCAATATAAAAATCCTAAATTGGCTATGCTATTTTTAGTTCCTTAATATTTTGCTGTTGTCGGACGCATTGATAATTTGAACGCTTAAAATAAATATTTATTAACACGTTCGAATGTCAGTATAGTATAGTTGCCACTGCTGTCATTGTTACTCCAGCCCGTGGAATCACCCATACATAGCCCCACTCGTTAGTAACAAAAATAAAAGGTAACATAAAGTTGCGGACATACCTAAAGTTCCGTTTCCGTCGTAATAAAAGTAAATTGAGTATCGAAAATTAATAAATATGACATCATTTCGTGTTTCTTATAATACCTTTCAACCAACCTTTCAAATTAATTTTAATTTATTTGAAGCGTAAGTTTAACTTATTTATTAAGTTAAGTGTAAAGGAACGATGTTTGGTTTATACGTTAACATTTGTGATGGATGAGCCAACTTATTAGTTACTCGTATCTTGTATCCGAATTTAGGTTTGGAATGAAGAACAAAAAGCGGAGCTTGTATTTGTATGTGTAATTATGCAAAATCAATTCAGTCTAGGCTATTATATACTACTCGTGAAAGTCGAAAACTATGCCAATGGTTCACAAAACTAGGGGAGTTGAACTTGCATCTGTTTTATTTCATACAGTGAAATCTTATTGGAATGTGACTTAATTAGATTATGAAGTCCATTTCCATTACAATATCAGAAATAACAAGACATATATTTTTCGATTACTGATTGATATGCCGGTTGACAAATCAATATACAGTATTCATAATAAAAGAACCCGACCGACGCACACGACACCATCGCACAGATTTTTAAGATAGCATGACACTACTCTAGGTACCTAAGAGATAATATATTTTATAAACTGATTTCTAGAGTAGGCAGAGTAGGAAGTCAATCTGTTATTTACAATATTTTTATAAGAACCGAAAAAAATCACATACCCACCGTACGAATTAACAAAAGACCTGGCTCGACGTCCGCCGTCGACGTGCAAGCTCAGTGGCGATAGTATAATAAGTGTACGTGTTTTTTAAATTTAATGTTATTACCTTGCTGTTCGTTTCGAATGGATGTTATGATTGTCTTGTTGATTGCTAAATTTTTATTAAGATAATTTAATTATAAATATAAGATTTAATTACTGATCATAGTTTTTTTTCTCTTAACTTCGAAAGGACAACTTATTCGCACGTTCAACTTTGCACAAACGTCATTCTCGCCAGAAGTCATGTTATTTTGTACGAATACCTAGTTTATTTGATAGATATCAAACATATAGAGATAATAAACGGATTTTTTAGTATTGTTATCATGTCTTATAATTATCGTTTAACTTTAAATTCTCAATTCAGAAACCGAGTGTAACATTTATTAAATTATTGAAAAAAGATCAGTCTAATGTTGACCTACGTTATTTTAAAAGAGCAGAGTTCTCCAAAAATTTTGTAATACTCCTTAAACAACGGGATAGTTAATGAGAAAGTATTTAAAAAAAAAACAAAAGCACTTAAAAAGCACCTCCACTAGATGGCGACTCTAGCAAAAGTTGATTTTTGCTGGAAACGTATGGACTACCAGTATTATGTATAATCTATGGTATGGACCAAAGACAGTTATTTCCTTTTAACTTTCGAAACTTAGATATCAATACAAATACGAAAAAGTACAAATAGAATATGAATTGTTTATTGAGTTTTGAAAACTAATTTACTTAAAACATGATAGGAAACCGGAAGGGTTGTCATGGAGAAATCAAGAACGTACAATAGGTCGCTACGGTACGTTCTTGATTTCTCCGGTACGTTCTTGATCTAGTTTGATTTCGAGAACTAATGTTTTTTTTTAATACTTCCTCATTCGTCTTTCGATATCACGCATTTTTCTTTTTAAATGCAATGAGGAAGTATTTAAAAATAAAAATTAATTCTTGAAATCATTCTAGATGTCACTCGCGATATTTGGATTTGTTTATGATATTCATTCAAATAACATCGTTTTGTATTTCGTTTAATCGAATTTTTGTTAATAAGATACTACAGTGTTTGCCTTGAGTTTAGTGAAGAATGTATTTAGTGAAATTTGATGTGTTTTGCGCGTGTATGCACCGGCATGCAAAAGAGTGTGCTTAGCTCAGTCTTCAGCATCGACTATCATTAAGATATCGGTATATAATTAAATGAAATTATTGTATTTAGCGGTCTGTTGTAATCTGCACACAATCGATATGCGCATGCGCTTTATGGGGCTGTCAACACTTAGAAATTTAAAATGTTTACTCCATTTTTACACCTTCTCTATTTTGAAATATTTGTCAAATAAAATGAATGTTTGCATGTAACCTAACTTGAAACTTTCGACTGTGTCGGTCATAGTCATAAATACACAACCCTTCCCCAGTTTTAATGCCGTTAACAGTTGCCTTGGTTTCACAAATTTCCTATAAAGGGTACTGGGGTACCAATCTGGGATTGTGGCTCAAATATTAAGGCAATTGGGATTCTGGTTCAAATAGGTGCAAAAGATAAGCCACTTTCTTAATCTATAATTTGCGTTATCCACTAAGAAAAATATATCCCATTTAAGGTCAACTCTTGATTTTGTTGAAGTTTCTTTTTTGGTTTACATTACCTATTTCTAAATGTTTCTGCCATTGCTCTAAAGAAAAAACAATATGTCAAACAGACGAAAAGTAAATAAAAGTAGGTACATCCTAATATCTTCAAGTTAAACTTGGAACCCATGGCAGTAAAGGATCGCTTGCGGTGAGTCGCCAAACCCTGCTTAATATCGTACAGGACTGCTCCAACTGTACGTTAAGTAAAACTCATTATGAAAAATATAATATATATATTTTAAAACGAGCTTTTATTTGTGTGCATTAAACCGTAAATAATAATTATATGCAAGGCAAGTTCATAACAAAACGTGAATGTTATAGTACTAATAATCACAACTTTGTAGCACTAATCAAATCGGAGAAGGAGAAATATTTACACATTTTTTTTATGCGCTACAAACTTTTCAAATAGAGAAAGTGTCATATAAAGCGCAATAATAAGCTTGCTTTTAAAAACTTATTTGATCTATTTTTAGTTTTTACTTTTCAGTTTTGTCTCATTCTATTCATTTCTGACATAACATCTGTATTGCAAGATGTTTTTAAAGGGGTTGTCGACTACTGCACTTTTTTGTCTCACACAATGTTACCAATAAACAAGATTTAGCGTTCGAGTAAATTTACGCTGAAACTACAGTAAGTCAACGTTCATATTATTAAACTGAGACTTAGCAAAGGAAAACCCAGTACGAGGTTCTACGGGAGTAATATTTTCTCCTAGAGTGTAGCAGGTTTGCTTATTCTCTGTATTATATGGATTTGGCTAATACAAAAATTGAAATTTTAGCGTTTTACTCTGACGCTAAACCTTGTTTTATTAGTAGCACTGAATAGCACGGTATATGGTTGGCAACTCTGTCACCCATAGACAAATATATTTTTATTTATGGCTTTTATGGCGTGGGTGCATAGAGTTATAGGCGTGGGTGTGGGATCCTTCTCTGTGGATCCTATATCCTGCTTCCCGCCAAGAAGCCGTCAAATTGTCAAAAAATTCATTGCAAGTTGCTTTGAGTGTCGTGTTGTATATTTTCTATTTTTATTTATATTTAGACAAAGTGATAATAAAACCATGGCAAAACCTGATGATAGTGAAGAAAAATGGATAGAACAATTAGATGGGCTGTGCTCAAATTTAAATGTTGATCCTGAAGCTGCTATAAAATCAAAAGAATCATTTTTGGCAATCAAAAGAAATTACACTTTAGAAGTAAGTACTGTATCAAAATTGATTTTTTAATTAAAAATATTGTCTCAAAGAGACGCCTTAAAATAAAGTGTCATTTTGGGGTTATTGTAAACAACCTTTGAAATTGTTATGCGCCTTGTCTCTCTCACTAAAAATTATAATTTATTATAATTTTATATCATAAAATAATCTATATTTTATAACTACTTAAATCGTCTTTCATGATTATTGACAAACTACAATTTGTTAAATCATTTTTCACTTAATTTTATAATTGATAAACAACTACAGCTCTATAAATGTAAGGTATGTTTGTTTGTTTTACCAACTAAAAATAACTGACAATGAATTGTTATGCAAGAGTCTAAAACTGTTTTGATTAAAATAATTCGGGTGTTTAGATCAATATAATTTATGCATGTTTACATAAAATGTGTTTGTGTAGAATCTGAAAACATTGTTCCAGGGTGATCTGGTACATTGGATGGCTTGTGCCTTGTATGTGGCTTGTAGAACATCAGTCACTCCGACTGTTCAATCAGGCACTGCAGTTGAAAGTAACTGTGTCAGTCTAACAAGATTGCTCAGACTTTGTAATATTAGGTAAGCTTTTTTTTCTCTACAAATAATAATAATATTTAATTGCTAATATATGGTTACACAATTATTACATTTTTAAAGGACCAACACATTTTGTTGATGCACAAATCTTATATGTTACTTCAATTATACAACTTCAAATTGTTTTAACAGCCTGATTCAATTTTTCACCAAAATCAAGAACTGGATGGAAATGGCATCTATGCCAAATGATTTTAAAGAAAGAATATCACATTTGGAGCATAAGTTTGCTGTATCAACAGTTTTATTCAGAAATTTTCAACCAATCTTTCAAGAAATATTTTCAGGTTTAACCAATGAATCTGTAAAAACACACATAAAGAGTAAAAAACACAAGTAAGTATATTCAAAATCATGTTATAAATTTTTTTGCACTGAATAATATTTTTTCAGTGTATGGGAATTGTAAAAACTTGCTTTATTATTTCAGGATGCAACCATGTTCCACAAATGCTCTATTTGAATTCACATGGTGTTTGTACATCTGCGTTAAAGGAGAATTCCAGAAGTCTGCAGATGATCTTGTTGATATGTATCACATGCTGTTGTGTTGCCTAGACTTTGTGTTTGCTAACGCATTTATGTCTAGACGCATAGATCTGATTAATCCAGGGTTCAAAGGTATGTTGTTAGTAAACTTTGCAGTCTGTTACTAACAATATTGAGAAATGCTTGTATATCAAATAATATGTGTTTGTCTTTTATATATTTAATTATTCAATATATTTTATGCAACTTCACAACTTCCTACTATGTTTTCTAGCTCTACCTAGTGATTGGCTAAAAGATGATTTTGAATTGCCAGCAAAAGCACCATGTATTATTTCAACTCTCTCAGAAATCAAAGCTGCATTGCCTGTTGAAGCTGGAACTATGAAGGAATATAACTGGAAACCAGTTATCATATCATTTTTTAAAAAAGGAGTGAGTACAGTAAATAGCACATCTAATACAAAATAAATATTTAAAAAGTGACTATAGCCTTTTTATTTGACAAAAAATATGATCAATTTACATTGAAATTTTTATTTTCAGATACTTAAGGGTAACAGTACACAGCTTACAGGAATCTTAGATATTGGTCATTTTGATGCAAATCAGAAATCATTAAATAATTTATATGAAACCTATGTTCTTAGTGTAGGCGAGTTTGATGAAAGGATATTTTTAGGTAAGAAAATATATGAACTACTTTCATTTTGAAACTTTTTGTTTTTTATAAAGTTACTCTGACAAATATTTAAAAAGTACAAAGTGACAATATGAGAATATGTTGACAATACTCTTTGTAACCAATCATATATTCAGTTATGAGTTATTTATGTTTTGCGTGTGATATGTAATTATATTTAATATAAAATGACGAATATTTATTGCATGGATACAATTTTATCTTGTTTAGTTGATTATGAAGGTTTAATATTTATTATTCGAAATTTGTAAACATATTACATAACATAAGAAATTTATATGTTAAGTCAATTTATTTTTATTTTATACAGGTGACCATGCGAGTGAACAAATCGGGACCAAAAACAAAGTTTCAGGTGATGAAATCTCCCAAGTTATTGCGACATTTGGACCAGTAAGTTAATAATAACACGGATATTATAATATTGTCGCCTTTTTACTATAAAATGTTTGTGGCGTAGGTTCGCCATCACCAAATGGGCTACATGTCACTTTTTGAACTTAAGCAATTCATTATGCTATATTTGTTATATTTTTCTGTAATAGATGATGCCAGTTAAGTCGAAATTCTCTTTTGCAATAAAGTTTAAATTGGTTCTTTATTAATAAAGTATAAGACATAAATACTCTGTAGATGAGTGGCTCGCTTGCCGGTTTCAAGGTGTCGCCGTATCTAAGGGCCAATTTGTCGCCAATTTTCTTTATAGTCTAGGGTCTGGGTGTTGTGGCACTTTCGTTGTCTCAGATACTACATAATACGAGAGCTTTAGATATTCATCTTGTAATCTGAGTAGTGTATGTGATGTTTTCTAATAATAATATATATTATTTAATTTCAACTTGAATGACTACTCTGTCAGGCTATGAGGCTAGGCCAGGAGAATGTCTTTAGATACGCCAATGGTTCCAACTATTTCCACATAAATATGTTTACAATATTAATATTATCAGATTGGACGTGCTTGTCCCGATACGCCGCTCACTGGACGACGATACTTGGGTCGTCGAGCAGAGGAACTAACCCCTGTATCAGAGGCGACCAACAGTCTAGCACGTTTAGCCGCTTTCCTGCGACAAGCTAAACCGCATCCATCTTCTCAGTTGTTACGCTTGTTCAAGTAAGTGTTATTGTCAGACCTATTTAGTGTACTAAGTGCAAGATATAATGAGACCCTGCTTAGCGAAAAGATTTCATCTTGCTTTGAGTTTGTTAAGGTATGGTATTTTAGTGTTACACTGTGCATGATTTTTCATTATCTCCATATTTGTGATTACTTGGTTTTTATTTAAGCGAATGATGTAAATATAATTTTTATATTAACTAACTATGTTGTTTTTGACGACAATTTGAACGCAAGCGGGTTATATTCCATTCCTTTACAATATTAAATGAGTTATAAACGCAATTGTAACTTATATCTATATCAAAAATATTTATAGAGACCCAGGGCCCTAGCTAAATTGCTAGGGTCCTGGGTCATGGCAAAAGTGTACAAAAACTTTTCTTTCTTCCAATATGCAATAATAATTTAACATACAATGATCCTGTATTTAGAATGTGTAATACCTATAAATAATACATGTAACAATTTGGATTTCGGATGGAGTGAAAAAAAATCACTCCTATTGTTCCCACTTAATAAGTAAATGCAAGTGCAAATTATGATGTTTTGATTGCAATAGCTAACATTATTTTGTTTGTTTTTTTTTTTACTTTTTCAATTATTATTTCAATTTTTTATTATTGACAATTCCAATTTTATTCCTTGTCCTAGTTATTGATATTGTTGATACGTGTGCTTTATAAATGTTGTGTTTGTAAGTGTGTGCTCGTAAATTGTATTTTATTGCAGTAATAAAAAAAATACCAAAATAACTATTGAAATTGTGTGAATTTGAATCTCCAATGTGGTTAATTATAGTGTCCATATTCATTGTCTACCCCATAATCAGTTGTGATATCTCAATGATTTATTACCTTTTTTATTCTTGTAGTGAATGTGGTGTGAGTGAAGAGACAATAAATCAAAATGTGATACAACCATGTAATCAATGGATGGAAATGTTTTCAAACTGCCTGAAAGAGTCAAACTGCAGTTATGAAACTATCAAGTTCCGTTGTAACATGGTCACTTGCTTGTATTATAAAGTATTTGAACATATCATTAGAGAAGAGCATAGAAAAAAACCGCAAGTGTCATTAGAGGTATGTGCACTTTATACACCCATTGTGATATTTACTAGCTAGTTATTCTTGTTTTGTATTTTCAACCTTGTGTAACCCGCTTAAGGTTATAATTTTTCAAATTCTAAGTTAATCTGCATGCTATAACAACTGTGTGTCAGATTTCAGTCTGATCCGACCAATACTTAGGATTGTGTGTTGATAGATCAGTTGCTCAACTTTATCTTTTATAATATAGACTAAAGAGACAATCAGCGCAACACTGGCCTAACCCACCATTTTTCAAATGCGTTGCAATTTATTTAAAACTTAAAAATTATAATGCAAAGCTGGTCTAGCCCTATTTTCACATAGGTTTTGCATCATATATTAAGTTATCCCTATAAGTACGAATGTGTAAAAAATTTAAAATATGAAAAATAAAATAAGTCTTTATTCAGATTAACTTATCTACTAAACAATATATAACATTAAACAACTTCCTTCTTAATATGATTGCTCTGTAATATTATAAATAATATAATATTATGCAACAAATAGGTTCCGAAACTACTGAACCAATATAAAAAATTCTTTCACCTTCAGGAAACTACATCATATGCGGTGAACATAGGCTATGTGAAAGGGCTAAAAATGGGTTCCCTCCCATTTTCAGCCCTTTATTTGCAGTTATTATAGGAAATTGAAATGTTATTCATGTCATGATATGAATCGATATCTGAATATCCATGTCCCTACCATGCGGGTGACCACGAAGCCGCTGATGGAAAACTAGTTATATTTATGTATATTTCACAGTTGCTAGTTAGTCGCGAAACGTACCAACGCGCAATATACGCGTGCTGCAGTGAAGTGGTCCTTCACGCGTACGGCGTCCACTCGTTACGGTTCCCGCGAGTGCTCACCGTCTACGATATCAGTCCGCTCCATTTCTACAAGGTCATCGAACTTGTGGTTCAAGCCGTCGTCGAAAAGCTTAGTCGCGATATTATCAAGCACCTCAACACTGTAAGTATTCACGGTTTACGTTGTCCGAGGGCATGGACTACTTCTATAGCTCACGTAAATTGCTAATACACTAACCTATAAACACTCACGTGACGTTATTTGTGAATAGATAGCACGAAATTCAATAAATAAATAATTTAGTAATTAGTGAAGTTTTAATGATTGAAGAAAAAAATTAAATAGATTTATAATAATATATTAATCGTTATAATAAAGTGGTAGACGCAAAGGGCAAAGGAGAGAGGATTTTTTAAAACTTTACCATATATAGTAATGACATTACATATATTAGATACATTTATTTTTTAATGAAATCCGGTTTAGTTATTGTGGAAATCATAAAAGTAGTTGATATTTTGATAGATCGTAACGAGTAACTCTCGAGATCGTAAATTAATAACAATCGAAAACAATAAATACATGACAATAATTATTATGCGTGGTCATAACAGTGGCCGATAGGCTCGTGTGCCTGTTTCAAGGTGTCGCATCTCAAGTTCCGGGTTCGATTCCCCTTCGAGTCAATGTAGAAAATGAACTTTTCTGTATTGTCTCTGGTCGTGTTTTGTGTTACCTTCCTTGTTGATATACATAACTTGAATCTTATCTTAAGGTATTTGAATAACTTATTGTATGAAGAAAAGCTATTTTCAAATGTATTAAAATGTCTAGTATTTACCAGGTGATTATTAAAAAAAAAAATCTCATCAACACAAATAGGTGTTTAATTTATTTTTTTACATTGTGATGGTTGGCAGATACATAAATAACAGAATAATGTATAAGTGAATAGATAACATTTCTTAGTAGTTTAAAATAAACACTTCCATAAAAAAAAAAAAAAACTTTTTTAATTATTAAATGAATACGAGAATATGATGCCTATTAATCTATAACAAACATTTCTTCTATTAGGTAGAGGAGGAAGTATTAGAATCACTAGTATGGACATCTGAGAGTCCCTTATGGGAGCAACTTAACAAAATGCCCGTCCCGGCATCCACTGATGTTTACGTGCAAGAATCACCACTTCTTAAAAGAAATAACAGTTTGTATTTTTTCAAAGATATTTCAATATAAATTACGTATTATCAAGTATTTATTTCATTATTATCAATTTACAGATAGCATTCAATCACCAGTATCGACAGCGATCAACAGGATTCTTATACCAATTGCTGATCAAGCTAAGAAACAGTTGTTCAAAGACAACATCAAACCTGGACAATCACTTTTAGGTAAAGTTCAATTAAATTACTTATTATTATTTCATCATCGTACTATATCTAGTTTCAGCACTATTATCTTTTAAATTCCTCTAATGTAATTATGCCTTTATATTGTATAATATCTGTATTATAAATTTCAGTGCCTACAAATAATGTGGTACCTAAACAAGAACCGGATACTTTGCAAGCATCTACAAATACGTCCAACGAGGAGCAAACGCCGACTTCGACACCTAAGAAAGCTAACAACTCGCTCATACTTTTCTTTAGAAAGGTTAGTGGAATGAGTAAAGTGAACAGGCAGGACTCCATACCCAATGAATATTTGTGCGGAACCTATTTCTTATTTATAGTTATAATAAAATTATTTCTTTTCACACAAAGTTAAACAATATATTTTTATTGACTATTATTAGGACCAGGGTTCGGAGCAATTAAAGGCTACGAAACAACAAAAAAAAAGCAAACCCCCCCCCCCCCCCCCCTCTATTAAATTTAAGTTTTCATTTCACTTTTTGTTCTATGTGATTTTGCAGGTAATTTTTTTTCAGATATTCGATAATTATCATGATTATAATCCAAAATAGTTTATCTTGATAATTACGAACCTTGATTAAGGCTCTTCTTCAATAATGTGTGAAAAATTGGTAGAATATTATGATAACAATAATAATGACTTGTTGCTTTGTTCAGTTCTACAGTTTAGCGGTAGTTCGCATGAACGATCTGTGCACCAGATTGCGATTGTCTAGCGACGAGCTCAAACGCAAGATCTGGACGTGTCTAGAATATTCCATTATGCATCAGACGCAGCTAATGAGGGATCGACATCTAGATCAGATACTAATGTGCACCGTATACGTCGTCTGTAAGGTAGGACTTACAGCCTTTCAATAAGAGTATTATAATAAAAATATGACCTTGTTTTTAAAGGCTCGAGCCTTCCTTATGGATGGTTAAGGTTGGCCCAATGCGGATTGCGGTTTCAAGTTTGGAAAAATTGGAATTTATTGGTTATCTCAATGATTAAAAATGATAATAATGTCATTAATTTATTTTGTTTCAGATATCTAATAATGCTAATAATCCTGTAGAAAGAACATTTGCTGAAATCATGAGATGTTATAGGCAACGGCCATTAGCAGATAATCATGTTTATAGATCAGTTTTAATCACTCCAGCTAAGGATAAAAGTGAGTCAACCCAGAATTGGAATTATTTTGTAGTAGCCTCTATATTTCTTTTTTATTTTTAAGATGACGTTCATTCTCTTAAATACTTTTCATATAAGCCTAATCACTGTTTGCATTTTGTTTGCTACGACAATGCCATTTAGAAATTTAATTACAATTCAATTGGCTGTATAGTTGAACTTTTTAAATTCATAAACTGTAATATAACAGTTATGTTGGAATGGCTATTGCTGTCTTGAAAGTCTATAAATAATGTTTTGTTGTTTCCAGATCCTGCGGAGAGAAGTGACTTAATCAAATTTTATAATAAGGTTTATGTGCAATGTATGCAAGACTTTGCCCTAAGATTTGCGGGAAGACAAAGGGATGTAAGTTGATTTTCTATTTACCACAATATATGGTTCTAATTGTCACTATATACTAGTTTGACTAAATTGTGGAGTGTTCTAAGTATAAAGCAACATTTGTCCTGTGAATGAGCATACAAAGCATAATTATTATCTTTATACAGGTTGAAGTAATCACAACTATCTGAAACTTTTAAACCTTTTAATTCGACACCCATATTGTCGTTTCTGTTTCTGTCGGACACTAGAAACTATTGTAAAAAAATGATTGCGTAGTAACAAATATAAATCAGACGATTAAACTGAATTATTGCCTAAAACTCATAGGAGTTAAATATTTTCTATTTGATGCGCGCATCAGAGGCGGTGTCAGATCCCACATCCGTCGCATCATAAACTATCGAAAATAGACCGTAATTTCTTTATCGCATTAATAAAAGAGGCCTTCAAGTGTAATGTTAATTCGTACGAGTAATATCTGTATTGTAGTTTTAAAATCGTCATTTGTCAGGAGTGCGGTTTGTCCCCATTGCCGGCGGGTCGCGGCGAGGCGGCGTGGTCCCCCGCGGGGCAGCGCGTGTCCGACCGGCACCAGGTGTACGTGAAGCCGCTCACCACGCCACCCCCCCACCACCACCACCTCACGTACCGGTTCAGCCGCAGCCCCGCCAAGGTAACGTGTCCCACTGGCTACAAGTGTACTTGAAGCCGCTCACCACGCCACCCCCCCACCACCACCACCTCACGTACCGGTTCAGCCGCAGCCCCGCCAAGGTAACGTGTCCGACTGGCTACAAGTGTACGTGAAGCCGCTCACCACGCCGCCCCCCCACCACCACCACCTCACGTACCGGTTCAGCCGCAGCCCCGCCAAGGTAACGTGTCCCACTGGCTACAAGTGTACTTGAAGCCGCTCACCACGCCAGCCCCCACCACCACCACCTCACGTACCGGTTCAGCCGCAGCCCCGCCAAGGTAACGTGTCCGACTGGCTACAAGTGTACGTGAAGCCGCTTACCACGCCACCCCCCCACCACCACCTCACGTACCGGTTCAGCCGCAGCCCCGCCAAGGTAACGTGTCCCACCGGCTACAAATGTACGTGAAGCCGCTCACCACGCCACCCCCCCACCACCACCACCTCACGTACCGGTTCAGCCGCAGCCCCGCCAAGGTAACGTGTCCGACTGGCTACAAGTGTACTTGAAGCCGCTCACCACGCCGCCCCTTCCACCACCACCACCTCACGTACCGGTTCCGCCGCAGCCCCGCCAAGGTAACGTGTCCGATCGGCACCAGGTGTACGTGAAGCCGCTCACCACACCGCCCCCCCCCCACCACCACCTCACGTACCGGTTTAGCCGCAGCCCCGCCAAGGAAACGTGTCCGAACGGCACCAGGTGTACGTGAAGCCGCTCACCACGCCATCCCTCCTCTACCACCACCTCACGTACCAGTTCAGCCGCAGCCCCGCCAAGGTAACATGTCCCAACGGAACGGTTCACCACTATTCCTGAGGCTGAGGTTGGGCCTTCCTATCGTTCCATCTTTCTGGTTGATGGTTCAGCCACTGGAGATTATCAGCATACTAAGGTCCTCACTGCTGGACATACTTTTTTTTTCTTACATGCAAAAATAAATCACGAAATTCGACAACAACAAAAATTTACATTGAAACATTTCATTTTTGTGGCTTATTAAAGTACTTTTTCAAATAAAGCAGAGTGAGTACCCATTTGGGATAAACACTCTTTAACCATGTCTTACTGAATATAATATCTATTTTTTTGTTGATAAAAAGGACCTGCACGCTATCAACACGATGGTTTCATGCGAGGTGGGCGGTATGAAGCGAGCGGGGGCGGGGGCGGGGTCGGGGGAGGTGGTGAAGCGGGCGCGGTACTCCACAGCCGGCGTCGCCAGGAAACTGCAGGGGCTCATGAGTGACAGACAAGCTGTCTGGTGAGTCCTCAAAAAAATTTACTTAACACTTTCCCATTCAATTATCATTAAAATTAGTTTTCATAGCTTTTATAATCATCAAATGTTCTTTATCAAATCGTAAACCTTTCAGTTCGGAATGTCCAATCTAATTCTAGTGTCATGATGGGTTTATTTTATACACAATTAACTGAAAAAGTTTATGATTTAATGACAATGAAAGCTATGTAAACTATTTTATAATAAACTAGCTCTTTTTCCGCTACTTCGCACACGTAATATATAGCCTATGTCAACCCTAATTTGTTTTGTCATAGGTGAAAGAATTCTTTAAATCGGTCCAGTAGTTTGGGAGCCTATTTGATCCAAACAAACAATCAAATCTTTCCTCTTTATAATAAATTAAAGGATCGTAAAAAAGCATCTGATCTACAAATTTGAACAAAATTAAAAGAAATAAATTTTATACTAGAGAAACAAAAACAAAAAACTTTAATAAATTATACACCCAAAACCTTCGTCCTAATTTAGTCCGTCTCTCGTGAATCCGCTTCTTCAACTCCTCTCTTTTAGATAGACAGATAAGGTTTTAAACCTTTGTTTTATAATATCTAAGGTTTTAATTAATTATCTTAATTTGCATAAACCATTTTTACATTTTCTTCACAGATCGCATCAACATCAACTAACAGTTTACATAGATCGGTTCAATGGAGTTCATATTTTTAATATTGTTTTGGTCACCGCTCTCTACCCCGATCTACGGAGTTATAAATATTTTTTGACGAATTGGAAAAAAAGTTTAAATCGATTTTGTGAAACAATAAGAATCAAAAATAGAATAGGATACAATTTGTATACAAATTTAGGATTTCACTCAAATGACGTTTCGTAATGCCATAACGGCGTGACTTCTTGGAGTCTATGTTAATCCAATTTAATGAAAATCCCAATCTTAAATTATAACAAAATAATTTTAACCCGCAGACTTCAGCTCAAGCTGCTCATTATCAATAATTTACAGCTTTATTATTATGTATATAGCAATATTAACTTAGCTTCCTGTTTACACTTTACAACTGGAGCTTTACGTATAGTGTGATTAAAATAACCGTATCATAAAATTTACGAACGGATTGGGTCGGATATGATTTTTTTAAAGGCTATTTTATTAAATTGGACACAGGCTATACAATATTTAGGGCACTAGTCTATTTAAAGTATCAATTAACTTAATTGATGCTAGAATAAATCTAACGTCAATATAAATGTCCAAAATTTATTATTCATTTTGATCTCATTTATTTGTTGAGTGTGTATAAATATATTGATTTGCCATATTTTGGTAGATACTGATATTTAACATTTGCCTAATGGTTTGAAATGAATTTTACCATTGTTTTTTAAGTTGTGAGGAGTAAGTTAAAACAGGGTTCGATACATATAACAATATGTATTTCATGATTTCAATGGTTTTATTTTTATTTTTGATATAAATCCGTATATATTATTCTATATTAATTTCTTAGTATCTATAGCCATTACTAGGTGGCGTCAATTGTATTTTAAAATGTGGTATTCCAAAATTTTAGAAGAATATTGCTAAAAAAACGTAATAATTTTATTTATTTCTCTAAAAATAAAAGTATTGATACCCTACGTATTTATTATCATTATAATGCAAAAAGGTATTTTTTTATATATCATATATATGTTTATCAAATCAGATTTTCTCGAACCCTGAAGTTGTAGTACCTACGTTTTCATTAATCGCTGGATATATGTATTAAATATATTAAGATTGACCTATTGGAGCTATCGCAAGTTTTAAATATTAGTATACTCCCATAGACAATCACCATTATTGTAATTAAGATATAAATAAATATAAAACTTTTTATTTTATGTAGAAGTTTATTTTATGAATAAGCTAAACTTTAAAATTAAATGCGCTATTATTTAAAAAAAAAATGTTTTATGTTGTAACTGTATAATGAACATGAAGCGGTCTTTATGCTTATTTGACTGAAGTGCATTTTTTTCTAAACAATTTTAACTGTATTGTAACAAGGAGAATGTTTCTAATAATAATATGCGACATCTCCTGACCATATTAAAGAAATAGGACCTAATGTATGGACAATTGTTTACTCTTTTCTTAGTTTATAAGTAATCAGAAGAAATGATTAGAATCAATTTGTTTTACATATGGCTGATCAAAATTATATGACTGTATATTTCATACATTATGTATGATGTAACATGTATTTACTCTTGGTTAAATAAAAAAGAAAAATTCCATTTTATAATGACTTTTCTTTATAATAATAGCAAACCCTTATCTGTAGAGAGTGATTAGTAGAAGACAGTGGCCGATATTTTTAAGAGATTTTTTCACTTCTTCCTCGTCGATGTTTTTTTATCGCATTTAGATGTCTCCATCTCCAAGAAATAATATTTGGTTGCCCAACAAGCAGCTTTCTTTTTGACTGACATTTTTTAAATTTAAAACCAAGTTTATGCAGTAACTGTCTCAAATATTCTCGACCACAGTTTAAAATTCCTTCTTCCTTAAGTTTAGCATTTAGTGTTTTCAATGTGGGTACCTTTTTGTATATAGTATAAAATTGAGTTATTTTTCGTCTGATGACACCTTCAGTAAAATTATCTATTTCAATTCTTTTAGTTCGGTTCTGTTTTTTACTTCTTGGGGATTTAAATACTACACTTCTCTGGTCGCGTTTCAGATCATTTCCTTCTTTGATGATTTTACTCACAGTAGACAGTGATATTTGCGTTGCTTGGGCGACGAATTTGTGCAGGTTTACATCTTGTAAAAATTCCGTGGAAGTTTGATCTTGTTTTCTTTGTTGAAAGAAAGAATAAACATTGTATACTAATTGTTTAGCTTGCTTGTTTTTTAGCAAAAATTTTGGACCGTCCTTCAGCGTTCATCTTGGAAAATATCTCAGGAAAAATAACCTCGTATAGATCTTGTGCCGAGCGTCCGTAACCAAAAAGCGTCCGAAACGTCTGTGAGTTCCTACGCGCCCACCTACCTCTAGCCCCGCAGGCGTCCCGCGAGTTAAATGGTTTGCCTATAGTCTCGTACTACTCTCGTCTCGTTTCAATAATAAAATTTGCATTTTTTATTATGTCACATTTTCGTGAAATGCCTCAAAAGTTGCGGGGTGCTGGCGATGTGTACGATTCATTTTTATTGATAGGATATTGGCTGCCATTGGTTTATCGACCAGTGAAAATAGCCCGAACTCCATATGTGGATCTATAGGGTTTAGAACTCTGGCGTGTGTCAGGCAGGCGACGCCATTCTCTTCGATTTTGTAATGAATACTCTTATGCACTTACGGTCAGTTGCACAAACGTTCATAAAGGTTTAATGACGCCTTTTATTATGAACGGATTTTAATTTTGTTTCTTGATTTATTTTAGTTTTGACCTACATTTTTAGTATATTGTGTCAAAAATAGTAATAACAACATCGTGAAACATCCTAATTAGATATGCGATATGTATTAATGTTTCCGAAACAACTGAAAAAGTGGTAAAAATAAAATAAAATAACAAGATATCTTGACATGTATATATTTAATTTCTTATAATTATACCTAGTCGGAGATCTTAATTCGATTTCGTGTAGTAGTATCACGCCTTAGCGTCTTATCAGTGCCGGATTAGTTACGTAGCAGATGCTACGGGCCCCGCGAGCCCCGCTATGGTCTGACCCATAAATTTTTCAATTCATTGTCAAAACTCATATTTAAGTATAAACTAACAAATAAAACTCAAAACACAGATTAGTTGCGTTGTGTCATTCGGAAAGCAAAGGTCGACTTTTCTGTTTCGTTTGCAAAGTTACTGATTGCGATTATTTGTCATCGTCATTCCCATATTTTTTTTAAAGCCATAAACCATAAATTATTTTGTTGTTAAACCTCAACATACGTGCATATTGATACTGACATTGTGAGTGTAATCTAAACAGTTGCATTGGCGGTTGCTTTTACAATGAAATATATCAAGCAAAGTATGTTTGTGAGAATATTGTTTTATTTTAATTATAAACTTAACTAATCTCAAGCCAAGCAAATCAGGGATAGGGCCCCGCTCTGGATTAAACCGGCACTGCGTCTTATAAAATCAGTCGCACAAACGTCCATTAGGGTTTAACGACGACTTAGCTCTAATCGATGTTTTAAATTTGAAAACTAATAGCTATTTTAATGGACGTTTGTGCAACTTCCTGTTAGTCATTATATCTATACGATAGAGTCTGTAGACAACGGCGAGGCGCGCGCTATAGAGGCGTGAGGCATCAGTGAGGCGCGCGTCTGCGCGTGAGGTCAGGTGGCCCGGCCCTTGCCCTCCTTGATGGCGATAACGTAACGCTGCGCCACACGCTCCGGCGGCGAGTAACCGTCCGCGTACGAGGAATCCTATAGACAATACAAAACGAGGAATTAACAATATTTTAGTATGAGCTCTGATAGCCATCGGACAAGGATAGGATAAAAAATCAAATTGTTCTTATTTGAATCCTATAGACAATACAAAACGAGGAATTGACAATATTTTAGTATGAGCTCTGATAACCATCGGACAAGGATAGGATAAAAATTCTAATTGTTCTTAATTGAATCCTATAGACAATACAAAACGAGGAATTAACAATATTTTTGTATGAGCCTTGACAAAAATCGGACAAGAACAGGATAAAAAAATCAAAATGTTCTTAATTATAAAGCTTAAAGATTATTCTTCGAATATTTTTGTTGAATAACAATACATTTTTAAATCAATAAATAAAAATACCATTTTTAGTGTTCCATACCCAAAGGGTAAAACGGGAACCCTATTACTTAAGACTTCGATGTCTGTCTGTCACCAGGCTGTATCTCATGAATCGTGAAAGTTAAGACGGTTGAAATTTTCACAGATGGTGTATGCCTGTTTGTTTTCGGTTCGGAACCCTACGTGGGCGAGTCCGACTCGCGCCTGGCAGGTTTTTAAACATTTACAATCTGTATCTTATGTCAAACTAAACACGAATTAGAGCGTATAACGTGATTTCTGGCTATATTCATTAGGTAATGTTAGAGTTTTTTCCCTTATTATGACTTGTCATTTTTAATTTTGCAAAATAATATATTACCAGTGATTTGCTTATGCGCCTGACCGCCATAATGGTGACGTAATTTATTGGCAGTTATTTTCAGCACTCAGTACTGTTAGCAAGTAAAGACTGGCTGGCGAGTATACACGTATTACTACCATTATTATTATTACCATTGCTTACGCTGAGCTGAGATCAGTTTTGACAGCACAGAACATAACATTTTAAATTATTCTATGTACTAACTGTTAATTGTCTTGTTTGTTTTATACTGGGTTGTGTTGTATGTTGGCAAAATAAATGTATTATTATTATTAAGTTGGGTTGTGTTGTGACCATTCATAGTGCATTGTTACGTTTTTGTTGATTTACTACAAACTAAAATAGCAATTGCTTTTATGATTACCACAATCAGTAAACCTGAGTTCACTACAAAATAAATATGTCTAATTTCATCACTATTTTCAGCATGTTTTAATAAATCCTCTCTCCTCTGACATTCTCGTTATAATATTAAAATGCAAAGTAAATATTATTAAATGGTAACAGAACTAAAGATATACCGACCTCGAATAAAACTTCATAAGGGTCGGCAGCATTCGAAGGTAGCCTGTTGACTATTGCTCTGTAGAAGCACGTAGTCTGCGGGTACAGTGCCATCACTACGGCACCCTTAGGGAACAGTGCCGGTTCATCGGTCCGCGGGTCCGCACGCATCAGCGGCAGCGGCACCACGCGCCGTTTGCTCAGAACGTGACGGTTCTTCTGCTCTTCGTCTATATCATCCACTTCATACTTCCCTTGAGCTGGCAACCAGCTCACCACCTGTTGACGTTTATAATAAGCAGAAGGCCTATTCTGTCGCTCCGAAAATGATTTTGTCTATTTTCGAAACGATTAACGTCGACTTTGAAGAAAATAATTTTATTAATTGATTTATTTATGGTGCATCGGAGGTAGGATCTGCTTCTGATGCACAAATAATCTTCACAGACATCTTGAATATTCCACGAAATACGAAATATTCTATGATAGCCACGAAAATGATGTGAATTTAGTGATTTAATATCGATGAGAACAGTAAATAGAATATCAGGTTATAGAAAATTTAATATTTTATATGAAACAACTTCCCATTTTTAATGTTAATACATTGTTTTTTTTTTAGTTCTGAGTCGATTGTAAAACATAAACTATGTAGTAATCTAATAAGCTAAAAGTTAAACGATATTAATTTTAGATGGACGCGATGTCATGACAGAAGATGTTGTAAAATTAGTATAAAGAAAGTATCATTCAAACAATAAGTTAAAATCTGAAAATAAACTGTAAAGTAAAAATATGCAAAAAAAAGGTTGTCAACACCACTATTATACCTCTGCTAATATCCAATTCTCCTCTTTATCTGATACCCTAACTAGTGCCGCGACAGCATCGCCCGGCCTCGCCACGTGCCCGGCGTCGGCGGGTACTGCCCCACACAGCGGCGGGGCGCGCTCGCCCACGCGGCCCACGTGCAATGGTAAAGTCTGAGCCGCGCTTAGCAGCATCTTCATGAGCGCGCCGCATCCGATAGTCTCTTTGTTACCAGCATGACGAGCCTACATCGAAACACGAATAAAATAATCAACTGAACCACACAATATTCTTTTCAATGCAGTTGCTCATAAAGCGCTATTTTTTTAATCCATTGTAAACACCGAAAGTGAGTCTTTAAACACGTGTTAAATAAAAATATACTGCAATCCTTTTACTGCACACGAGCTTAAAAGTTTTTTTTTTTAATTTTTAGTCGAGGACCAAAGAAATTTAAAAAAAATTGTTGAAAATATGTCAAACTTTAGAGGCAAAAGTATTTCAAGAAGCCTAGAACGAATATTTTCAAATAAAAATGTATGACACGAAAACATGTTCAAATATCACGTTTAATTTTAACAAATAATTTTTACTTTTAATACATACTTAGTTTTATTAACATATATATTTCTTTTATTTCCTCGCAAAAAGCATTGAAAAATGTTGTAAGAAACTTGAGCGTAGAAGATTTTTCGAATTCGTGCCAATGAAAACCCTCGCTACGCTCGTATTTTCAATTTGGCCCTTATTCGTAAAACCTTACTTTCCGCACTCGTACCTTAAATAACTATTATAAATTAGTTGAACGTAAAAATATTAATTTTAATTACAAAGAGATAGGTAAGATAAGATAATGGAAGATTCTTTTGTAAATAACAGTTCAACAAATAACAGTTCCGTACCAAAAAAAGATAACACCACAGATTGAACAAAAACAAATGAAAAACCAAGACACTGAAATATCTTTAAAATTAATTGATAATATAACATTTATAGAGAAAGACATATTGAAAAGCAGATTGTATAAAGATTCACAACAAAACGAAGTAATACAATTTGTTATGAATAACATACTTTTTGTACATAATTTATACTTTTTTAATGGAAATATACTCTTTGTAGATTTTGTAATAGATGTTCTATTTTTTAAATTTTTCAGTAGTCATTATAGTTGTCTTGCACCTGATCCTGGTTTTACTTCTGCTTACCTCAGGTTTCCCTATCTTATATTGAGCTATCGATAATATATTTGGTCCCTCGTCGGTAATTTCTGAACTATTTCAAAATCTGCTATCCAAAATTCATTTTTTTCAAAATTTTCTTTAACTTATGGTAGAAACTCGTAATCAGAGGAAGGCAAGAGAAGGTGAAGGTCAAGCCAACATGGGCGATCCACCGACTACTATCGTCCCATCTTCCAACATTGTCCCTCAAGGTTCTGAAAGTTCCAGATCGTCCCGTTCCTCAGCGACGATTCGAGCTCAAAAACTTGCCTTGCAAGCAGCCCACATACGAAGAGTCGCAGCAGCTGAGGCAGCAGCAGCGGCAGCAGCGACGACTGCAGCAGCTGAACGAAAAGCGGCAGAACTAGAACTTCAAGCGCAAATGGCAACGTTGGAAGCGGAAAGCGGTAGGAGTGCAAAAAGTTCTCGATCACGCTCTTCAATAGAAAACTGGTTAGCATCAGTTGATAATAATAGTAGTAAACATCGCGACGTTACTTTAGAACCGACTACATGTTCTAATGCATTAGATAAACGTCAGGATGGTGAATGTAGCCAAAATTTAAACATTTGTGGTGGAGGAAGCTTATCAAAGCCTCTACCATCCCCCACCACAGCTAACATTCCCTTGCCTAGTGGTACTTTACTACACAATATAAATAAAGAGTCGAGACAACCCACTGACATATATTTATTAGCACAGGCTATTACATCACTAGCAAGCGGCACTACTTCAAGACCAAAGGTTGGCGATGCTCGACTGCCTGTCTTCGATGGTAAGCCGTTGGAGTGGCTAGCCTTCAAGCGTATTTTCGAAGACACAATGGCAGGGTTTTCTCCGTCTGAGAACCTTGCACGTATTGGTTTAAGTCTTCGCGGAGCGGCACGTGAGGCAGTTTCAATTCTTCTTGTGTCAGCCATAGACCCTCTGGAAGTGATAGACGCTTTAGAATTAAGATTTGGTAGGAAAGAACACATTGTTTTACAGGAGATATCAGCGATAAAATCTCTACCTAAGCTGTGTTCAGAATCTACTGATTTAAATAAATTTGTTTGTAGGTTTCGAAATTGCGTAGAAACAATAAAACTGCTGAATCGGAAAAGCTACTTAGAGTCACCTGAGATCTTTCAAGCTATTCTTAGCAAACTCACTCCATTGCTACGTAGTAGGTGGACTGACTTTGCTCAAATCAACTTCACCGGTCACAACAAAACTAAACTTGAACTGCTAGCACAATTTTTATCCCAAGAAGTTGAATTGCAGTTGAAGTTTGGTCTAATCACGGACCCAACAAGCTACATAAAGAAGTCTGAAAAGTTGCACACTACCACATCATCAGAAACTATCCAAAATTTACAGAAAACTTATTCAAAAATGTCATCAAAAAATAATCAACCAAATCCTGAAATAAAATCTTGTCTTTTGTGCAAAAATAAACATAATTTAAATAAATGTGACGAATTTTTGGCATTGTCAGTTTCTGATAGATGGGAATTTGTCAAAGCTAATAAAATATGTCATAGATGTCTTAAAAAAGGTTCACACAGTTATAGATATTGCAAATACTCTAAGGAGGCTTGTAATATTTATAACTGTAAAGCAAGACATAATAAACTTCTACATGATGCAAACCTTCTTGTAGCTCACGCGACAGTCGAAAATGATTCACCAAGCGATAATACGAGCTCATTTGACCATGAAACCGATGAAAAACAATGTAGCGATCTAGTAGCACATACAATTCAAAAGAATGATTCGGTGAGGTATAGGCCTTATTTAAAAATAGTTGCTGTTACACTCTCTGGGCCGCTAGGAAGTATAGACACATATGCTCTCTTAGACGATGGCTCCACAGCCACGTTTGTTGATTCTAATATTTGCAAGCAGATAGGAGTATCAGGACCCGAAACACAGGTTCGTTTGGATTGCGTTAGTGGTTTACGTAAAAAGGTTGACGTCCAATATGTTGATTTTGATATTAAGGGCCGTTTTTGTACAGAGACGTACAAAATTAAAAAAGCTAGAGCTATTAACAACTTAGGGTTGTCAAAACAGACCATACGAGTTCATGACATTGATAAATTTAAATACTTGTCTAAACTGAGTAACGTTTTGTGTTATGAACATGCGGAACCTAAGCTTATAATTGGCCTTGACAACTGGCACTTAACAATATCTAAGTCAACACGAAAGGGTTCTAAATCGCAACCAGTTGCAATCGAAACAAATCTGGGTTGGGTTTTATTTGGTTTTAATTCGAGTAAGACAAATCCTGTTGATTTTGTCAATCATATCGATATTTTAGAAACCAATTTTGAAACATCAGATTTTGACAAATTAGATCTAATGATTCAAAATTACTATAAGTTAGATTCTCTGGGCATTTGTAAAAATAACTGCGTAAGTAAAAATGATTTGAAAGCGGTTAAGATATTAGAAGAAAGTTGTCGAAAAATGCCGGACGGAAAATTTGAAGTAGGTCTTCCATGGAAGGATGCTAGTTTGGATTTTCCGGAAAGTTTTAATCACGCTATGTCTAGGTTTAGGAGTTTAGAACGAAAAATGTCCAAAGATACCGAATACGCTAAACTCTATAAAACCAATGTTCAAGCTATGTTTGACAAAAATTATGCAGAAGGTCCAGTTGGATTTCATTCGAACACCACTAGATCATGGTACTTACCTCATTTCGGAGTTACCAACCCTAACAAACCAGGTAAACTTCGCATAGTTCACGACGCGGCGGCCAAATCTAATGGTGTAAGTTTGAATTCAATGCTTTTGACGGGACCTGATCTTTTAAACTCTATCATAGACATTTTATTCAGATTTCGAGAGGGTAAAGTTGGACTCTCTGCAGACATAAGAGAGATGTTCCCTCAAATAAAAATAAGAGAGACAGACAGGGATGCGCAACGCTTCATTTGGCGAAATTCTCCTATAGAGCCCATTCAAATTTTTAGAATGTCTTCTATGATATTTGGGGCGGCATCTAGTCCTTTTATAGCCCAGTTTGTTAAAAACAAAAACGCTCTCGAATTTCAACACCAGTCGCCTGAAGCTGTGGACGCAATTCTCAAAGATCATTATATGGACGATTGCATTGTCTCCACACCTTCATCGGCTGAAGCGGCACAACTTGCCGCCAATATTATATCCATTCACAAAAATGCTGGCTACGAGATGAGGTCTTGGGTATCAAATGACCCAAAAGCTCTTTCTCTAATACCTAAAGATTTGTTATTGGATCCTTTATTAGCTTGTGTAGATGTAGATTTAGGTAAGATAGCTAAATCTGTAAGAACTTTAGGTTTAGTATGGCAGCCTCTCGAAGACTGTCTTAGTTTTAATTTTAAAGGCTTCATAGATAAAGTAGTAACTGATCGTCTCACCAAACGCGAAGCTCTTTCTCTCATGATGTCAATTTATGATCCTCTGGGTTTTCTCGCTCCACTCGTTGTGACGGCACGAATTTTATTTCAAAATGTTTGGCGAAAAACCATTGACTGGAATCATCGACTAACTCAGAAGGATATCGTAGCATGGAAAGAATGGCATGCGGTATGCATTCGATCCATAACTTGTTTAAAAATTCCGCGTCGATACCAACTGAGTGATTTTGAAGTTACCGAAAGACAGCTTCATGTTTTTTGCGATGCTAGCGAATCTGCATACGCATCCGTAGCATATTGGCGCTTAACTTTTCCAGACGGTACGGTCAATATTGTGTTGATTGGCAGTAAAGTTAGAGTAGCTCCACTTAAACCCGCATCCATACCGCGACTAGAATTGCAAGGTGCTTTGGTTGCTGCTCGACTTGCGGACACAATCTGCAACGCCCATAAATTTAAACCGTCTAAAAGAATATTCTGGTGTGATTCTATGAATGTCATAGGATGGCTCCGGAACGACGCTCGTAGTTTCAAACCATATGTTGCTAATCGTTTGGGCGAAATTTTGGAACTATCGAAAGTTAATGAGTGGCGGTGGGTGCCTTCTGAGATGAACGTTGCAGATGATGCCACAAGACTTAATAAAGAAATGCTACACACTAAGTCCCGCTGGTTTTCTGGCCCTAGATTTCTCCATGATGTCAATGAATGGCCTTCAGAACCTGTGATTAATATACCTACTTCTGGCAAATGTGAGCTAAAACCAAAGCACCGAGACACATGTCAGGTTATCAATGAACAGTCTCGTCACTTTTTAGCGCCAGTAGCTGCTAATCCACGCCGGATAAGTAGGTGGTTATATCTCATTCGCGCAACCGCATTAGCACATTTATTCGCTCGTAAGATGCTTGGTATCTGCCGTCAAACAAATAACACAAATTTAACCTCTTCAGATCTAACAGCTTCCGATTTGCAAATAGCGGAGAACCACGTCTTATGGCAAAGCCAGTTAGAATGTTTTCAGATAGAGAGAGAGTGCCTAGAAAGAGCCAAAACATTGCCACGAAACAGTAAGCTTCTGAACCTGTCTCCCACGATTGACAAAGACAACCTTCTACGTGTATCAGGTCGAATCAGCGCAGCGGCAGAGATCAACTCATGGACAAAATCACCGATTTTATTGGATGGAAAACATCCTGCTGTTCGTCTGTTAGTTCTCCAGTTTCACCAAAAAGCCGCCCATGCCAATACGGAGACTATCGTTAATGAGATCCGTCAAGCCTACTGGATCTTACATCTCAGAAACACGGTACGAACGGTAGCCAATGAATGCCCACTTTGCCGACTACGAAAGGCCAGACCTTACAACCCTCCTACAGGTCAGCTACCACCTGCGAGACTAGCACATGGCGAAAGACCTTTCTCGTACACTGGACTCGACTACTTTGGCCCCATCCAAGTTACTATTGGTCGCAGACGAGAGAAGCGGTACGTTGCCCTCTACACTTGCCTGGTGACACGAGCAGTACACCTTGAAGTTGTCTTCAGCTTATCCACCGACGCAGCTATGATGAGTTTAAGAAGATTCATCGCACGTCGCGGCTGTCCTAGACAAATCTACTCCGACAATGGAACAGCCTTTGTCGGACTAAATCGGGAACTTAAAAAGTTGTACGGTGAACAAGTCACATCATTCGCAACAAATGAGAAGATCCAGTGGAGCTTCATTCCACCGGCAGCTCCTTTCATGGGCGGAGCGTGGGAGCGTCTAGTTCGCAGCATCAAGACGGCATTGAGAACAACCCTAAAAGAGAAGGCTCCTAAAGATGAGGTGTTATTGACTCTTTTATATGAAGCAGAAGCAGTAGTAAATAGTAGACCCCTTACACACGTCTCTCCAGATCCAAGCTACCCCGAGGCGCTGACGCCATTTCACTTCCTCATAGGAACATCGTCCGGACGCAGCGTTCCCGTAAACTTACACGAAAGAGACTTTTCTGGCAGACTATGCTGGAAAAAGGCTGCCGGAATGGCTGATCAATTTTGGAAGCGTTGGGTGGTGGAATACCTGCCACTGCTCAACCAATCCCGAGGCGCAGGCCGTCTACCTAATGTCACTGTGGGAGACATGGTTTTTATAGCGGATGGCAATCTTCCACGAAGTGTCTGGCCAAAAGGAAGAATCGCGAAATTATATTACGGAAAAGATGGAATAGCGAGAATCGCTGACGTCAACACCACAGGAGGCCAACTAAAGAGGCCTCTCAAGAAGTTGGTTCCCATTACCTAAAAAGGGGAGGATGTTATGAATAACATACTTTTTGTACATAATTTATACTTTTTTAATGGAAATATACTCTTTGTAGATTTTGTAATAGATGTTCTATTTTTTAAATTTTTCAGTAGTCATTATAGTTGTCTTGCACCTGATCCTGGTTTTACTTCTGCTTACCTCAGGTTTCCCTATCTTATATTGAGCTATCGATAATACAATTAGAAGTAGCAAAGCCATTGAAAAGGAAGATAAAAATAGATGAAGGCAAAAGGATAAATATCTTGTGTCAAATGAACTAATTTTCAAACCTTAAGAAGTTAAACCCAGTACTAGTGGCTCCAGAAGACGTAGTTATTACAAAGATATTAACGAGATTCTTCGGAACTTGTTGAATGAAGAAATTACATAAGATTTCTATTTCATAAAATAAAAATAATTATTTAAGTTAATTTTTAAGTTTGAACAAGTTGTTGCGATTGTTTTTATGGAGGCTTTTTATCGAAAGTCGAAAATTTTAAGAATTTATACTTTTTGTTAATTATATTTCTATAATATTTAATAATTTTGAAATTAAGGAGTATAAAGTCACGAGGTTTTTCATTCTTTAATCTGTGAGGAATTATATGGTTAGTTACTGGTTACTCATACATTCTACTCAATTTGCAAAAAACTAAAGATATATTTACCTATTTTTCTCTATTATATCAAATTATTATAACTATGTGCCAACCCTAATGAATTTCCCTATTGAAGTTAGTCCCATTCCTATTGACCTCAGACTTTGGGTGAATGGGGATGGCATATATTTGTTACTTTTTACCTTAAATCAAGATGTAAGATGGTACTATTTTAAATTTCATAATAAAGATAAAGCTATCACTCAAGTATTTAAACATTGGTTCTTCACCAAATCTGTGTAACACTACCTTAAAAATCGTAAACAAATTGGATTTTGTCCCTATTCACCTCATTTTACGGTATATGAAATAACAGCTATTTTATTCCCAATCTGAGAAATTAGTTTGTCATGATTAATTAAGTAAAGACTGGTGGGTGTGCCAAAAGTTTAAAGATGATTCCATCATTTTACAATACTTTATGCTATTACTAGCTTTCCACCAGTGGTTTCGCCATATGGTTTACTTAAAGGCTTGACAATACATTTATCCTAAGAAAACCGTTTAGTGGAATAAATTGGAAACAAATAGCGCCATAACATCGCTAAGATGTCGTATACTATGTCTAGTCATTGCTAGAGTTAGGCAGTTGCACCCCATAAGTGTAAGGACTTACACAAAACTGACCTTGAAGGTACTCTAAATATTATTGTTTCAAAAAAAAAATTATAGAAATATGACATGTATTAAGGGGCCATCCATTCCGCATCCACAGCTCACAAATGTGACAAGGACGGGGGAGGGGTAAAAATCATGAAATTCGTGTGACGTAATTTATAACGACCCCTAACAACAATAATTAATAAACACCTGCATGCGCCTCTCATTCTTGATTGCACGTATCTCATAGATTCGGGACAGCGCCGCCCTAAGCAATCGCTCCTCCTGCTCAGCTGCACCTAAACCGGCTTTGTATAAACTTTTCAACTGGGTTTGCTGTAAAACATCACACTTAGATGAGATCTAAGCTTGTTATTGTAGCAGGAAACAGGGTTTGTAAATATCATGATAATAATTTTATGGATAATTATCATTCATAATTGAATAAACTTTTATTGTTGTTATTTGAATTATAAATATAAAATAAACAAAAAATTACCTGTGAAATCATATTGAACAAAAAGGGAAATATAAATAAATTGGAAAAACAAACAAAGTATTTACAAATAAACCATTCCATATTTTCCTAAAAAGAATAAACTTATAACCTGCTGTGATGAACTGGATGAGTCTTCTGTTGCGGGTTGAGCTTCTGCTACTTTTTCAGCACGTAATATTGATTCAATGCACTGTTCATTTCGCCCTCTTTCAACCTCAATATCATATATAAGCCTATGCAGTGAACGCAAACGTTCCTATAAAAAACAAATCTAACTTATGACACCTAAATATACTTTTAGTATAACATAGAAGTACAAATAAGGAAAACAGGTCAAAATATATTAAATTGTTATGTGCTTATGTACCAATAAACAACTTTATGTTTGATAGAAAACCTACTACTTTTATGTACTTTGTACAATTAATTAAGTATAATGTTGGCTTGTGTAATGGTTACCATTAATTATAATAACACATCAGAGTTAAGCTACAATTAATTTTTCTGTATTGTGATACTAGTCTGTAATTAAAGTGTATTATAAATTATTGAGTAAAATAATATTTTTATTCGTTTGTACTTTGGTCAAACCACCTTAAAAAATATTAAACTAGAGTGATTATTACTTATATGTACACTATATTATTTATCAGGCCAATACAAATAACATATCATTCATTAAAATAAGTTTTACCAAAAAAACATGTCAAGTACCTATCCAGAACAGATTTTAATTTCCTTTACACAAAATAAATTATTATAAAATATTAAATAACATCACATACATTGTTCAGGATGAGCAGCTAAAGCCCCCGTATTATTATCTGACACAACGGAGGTACCACAATAGCCAGTCCCGAGGCGATGTACAAGTCATTTTTCTACTTTGAACAGACCACAAATTGAACCCGGGGCCTAAATTTATCAAACATAATATCTGAAGGTGTCGCCAAAATACTTCTATAATAATATTCCAATTAAAAGAAAATGTTAAATAGAAAACAACTATGAGTATACCTGAACTTGCTGAGCAGCAACATCAGCAGTCAAAGGCATTTTTATGATGTCTCACTAAGCTTCCAACTTAAGTAAATAATGTGTAACCAACACAGTCCTACAAAAACCTTGAAAACGACATTTAGTAAATTTAAATTTGAAGAAAATACCAAATTTTTAAAATGATTTCTCAAACATGCTTGTTTCTCGTATAAATAAATAGAAATTAGAAACACTACACCAAGCTACATGTAAATAAATAAGTAAATAATAATAGTTATCTTTGAATTATACCGAAATAAGCACTTCCCACCAAAACATGAAACACAAAATACATTCACTTTTGTGTGGAACCAAAGATTACGATATTATACGTGTGGAACCTTTATAATAATGTACTCTGTGTGTGGAACTCAGCCACAACTCAGCTTCCCTATGTACCACAGACTTAGTAGGCTATGTACACACTTTTATTCTTTGATAGGATTGGGCAAAAATTATCGATATAACAAAATGTCGATATGTTTTTTGAAAAATATCGATATTAATCAGCGATATTTTTTCTCCGCGATATATCGGTTTTCGATATTTATTATCAGATATCAAATTCGTATCACAATCGATATATTTTTTAAAGTTCTGCTGTCTACTCATACGTCGCATCATGTATTTCTTAAGAGCCATATGACAAATTTTCACTGTGTGAGATTAGGTATTTTGAAGCGTTACGAGTTCTCGACAACTTGTTCAAGGTCACGAGTCCACAATACTGTATTAAAACTACGACCAAGCTATTTTGACACTTTTCCCAATATTTGTATTTTTTTAGTATTTCTATGGTGAGATTCATTACCGATTGCCGATTATTTTAACACGACTGCTGTCGAAAAGAAGTCTATTGTTTTTAGAATTAATGTATGTATGTGAGTTTTTTTATTGAACCATAACTTTTGAAAGATATAACAGATATGAATGATAGGGTATCATTAGAAACATCATCCTAAGTTACCACAAAATACATAGAGTATCAGTGACACTAGCTTTATTTATTAATATTAAATAGGTATGGAGACGTGTGACGCCATTTAAAAAAGTATGTTTTTCTTAATCAGAACTCTATGGGTATCAAATTAAAGGTCCATTAAAAATATATAATCTTTATACATAATTAACTGCTCACTAAAAGGAATAAAATATAAATAAATAATTTAAAAATTAAAAACACGACTGCTAAGATCGGACAAAAATTAAAAGAAACAAGTTTAGCCAAATCATAGGCTGTATAATATAAATAGCGATGATAATATATCTATAAATATTAATTAAAAAATATTCGTGCCATATTCTTCGTCGACGATTTCGGAATATTTCTGTCATCCATAGGAAACATGTTTTTTGTTCTTGGCATGATCCATTCTGAACTTTTAAGTTCAGAATGTAGTAAATTATAAAGTAGTAAATTTGTTAGAGCCTAGGAATAACAGAGGTTTTTATACCTAGTTCCATAAATAATTTCGACACTGTCATTTAGCCATAATAATCTTTTCTTTTGTTCTGTTTATTCTGACGCTGTGTAAACTCTGCTAATAAACCACATCAGGGTTATGGGCGTAAAAATCCACCACGCTGAAGAATGTCTAGAGAGAATAGCGATAGTATGAGTACAGTCGCTGATAGAGGTGATTCGAGTTATAAGAGTGATTCGTATTTTGGAACTATGAGTAGTACACCCGTTATAGAGAAGCTTGACGGTAATTCAAACTATTCTACGTGGAAGTTCCAAATGGAAATGTACCTAATCGATGCAGACTTATGGGAGTATACGAGAGAGACTCCAGCCGGAAGTGACGTACAAGGTACAAAGAGAGATCAGCGGACTAGGGCCAAGATTTGCTTGATGATAAAGCCTCATTATTTAATTCATGTCAAAAAGGCCTCGACAGCTAAACAAACATGGGAATCATTAAGAGATGCTTTTGAGGATAAGGGCCTAAATAATCGCTGCAGGCTGCTATCAAGACTAGTAGGTTACAAACTAGAGCGTTTTTCAACTGTTCGAGAATATGTCACTGCAGTAATGACAACGTCTCAGGAGCTGTCAGATCTTGGAAAAGAGATCGATGATGAGCTATTAGCTGCTTTGATTCTTCAAGGTCTTACCCAAGAATTTCAACCAATGAGATTAGCTATAGAGAACAGTAACATTCAGCTTACTACCGACTATGTGAAGACCAAACTTTTTCAAATGGAAGATACGTTTGCCGCTTCTACTTCCAAAGAACGAGACATGAATATTTCTGTGACTTCTGCACTTTTATCAAAACAAAAAGGCAAGAAGAAGCCAAAAGCTAAGAAGCTTCAATGTTTTATTTGTGGTGCTGCACATAAAGCGATCGAATGTCCTAACAATCCAAAGAAGCAAAAGGAAGCGTTACACACTTTTGCACTAGCTACAGCTGGAGATTCCGGAAACGAGGATTGGGTTCTCGATTCAGGAGCGTCGTCACATATGACTAACAAGAGAGAGTGGTATAAGGACTATAAGAGTATAGACCCTATAACAGTGACTTGTGCTAATAATACAAAAGTGTATGGAGAAGGAGAAGGTACGGTAGTATGCAATTCATTAGGAGGAATGTCAGTTACTAATGCTATGTATGTTCCTAAGTTATCAACTAACTTATTGAGCGTAAGTACTATTGCGAAAAAAGGTTACATAGCAGTATTTGGAAACGAAAGGTGTGAGATTTTTAAGAGTAATGAATGTGTGATTTCAGGTCGAGTATTTCTGAAAGGTGTAGTAGAAAGAGGCGTATATAAATTAAAACAGTGCTGTTTACAGGGATCAGCTCTTGCATCAGCGACTGAAAAGGATTCACTGATAGACCTGTGGCATCGGAGAATGGGTCATCTTGGTAAACGTAATCTACTACTACTTAGAAATAAATTAGCAACAGGGGTAAGTTTTCCTAACACAAATTCTAAACTCGAATGTGTATCTTGCTTGAAGGGAAAACAAACAAAACAACCATTTCCGAAAAAGAGTACACGTGGTATGAGAGCTACGGAGGTACTTGGTCTCATACACTCGGATGTGTGTGGTCCCATTAATGCTCCTTCTTTTGGTAAATGCCGTTACTTTCTTACCTTTATCGACGATTTTACTCGAAAAACTTTTGTCTACTTTTTGAAACATAAAGATGAGGTGTTTGAAAAATTTCAAGAGTTTAAGGCACTAGCTGAAACGCAAACTAATAAGAAGATAAAGGCACTAAGAACGGATAATGGCACAGAATTTGTTAATAGAAGGATGGATGAATTTTTGAAGAGAAATGGAATTCAACACCAACTCACGGTTGAGTATACCCCAGAACAAAATGGTGTTGCTGAACGAGCAAACCGCACAATATGTGAGAAAAGTAGAGCGATGATTCAAGGTCTACCTAAATCATTTTGGGCGGAAGCTGTACATCATGCAGTGTACTTGAAAAATAGGTCACCGACTATTGCTCTTAAAAATAAAACGCCAGAGGAAGCCTGGACAGGGAGAAAGAGTAACCTTGAAAATATAAAAGTTTTTGGATGCAAAGCTTTTATGCACATTCCTGACCAGAAACGAACGAAGTTTGATGCCAAGAGCAGGGAATTAGTCTATGTTGGATTTTGGGATAATGCCAAAGCATATAGATTGATAGATCCTAAGTCTGGTGTAGTGTTTAAAGCGAGAGATGTTGTATTTTTTGAAAACCAAATGTATCAACAAGAAGATCCTTCTACGACGAATGCACATTCAGATTTTTTAGAGGAACATCAAATAATTGAGGAAGTTCGTACTACTGGGAGTAATGTAGAGCAAATTGGAGCCTCAGCTAATGAAGCACCTGTTGAATTTAATCAGGAGGAGCAAGAGGATATGCCTGGAGAAGATTTTGGTCAACAACTGACTGAATCGAATGTTGAAAATGGAGAAAATTTTAATAGAGCACCTGTCGAAATTCGACAACAGAACGAATTAGATGGCGAATGTCGCGATGAGGACAATTATTTTTCAGCTGATGAAGACGAAATAGAAGCGTCTACGGCTGAAAGGAGATATCCATTAAGGGAAAGGAGAGCCAGAGAGTTTCCCGACTACATCCTTTATCATACAACCGGGAGTGAATCGGATCCAACATCGGTTCAGGAAGCTTTGTCTCGGAGAGATGGGGATAAATGGAAAAAGGCAATTCAAGAAGAATTGCATGCATTAAAGAAAAATAATACATGGACCTTAGTGAAACCACCGGCAAAGTGCAACATAGTTGATTCTAAATGGTTATTTAGAATCAAAGAAGAGGGAGGAAATAATGTGAGATATAAAGCTCGACTAGTTGCACGTGGCTTCAGTCAAAGAAGAGGTTTTGACTATGAGGATACGTTTGCACCGGTGGTCAGGCACAGCTCGTTGAGGACTTTGCTAGCTTTAGCCAGTGAGATGAATTTACAGGTTGACCAAATGGACGTCAAGACCGCTTTCTTGAATGGAGATTTAAGAGAAACGGTCTACATGAAACAACCTGAGGGCTTTGAAGTTAAAGACAAAGCTGGATATGTATGTAAATTAAATCGGTCATTGTATGGACTTAAGCAAGCTCCTCGTGCATGGAATAAGAAACTAGATAGTGAATTGAACCAACTTCAATTTATACAGTCTAAAAATGAACCTTGCGTTTATACAAGATTCATTGAGAATAGAATCATAATATTAGCTGTTTACGTAGATGACATGCTGATATTTTGGAATAACAAGGAGGAGCTTCAAAAGGTAAAACGGGAGCTTACCTCGAAATTCGAAATGAAAGATCTTGGACCAGCACATATTGTTTTGGGAATGAGAATTACCAATAATAAGGATCATATTAAAATTGATCAAGAAAAATATATAGAGAAGCTCCTCAAGACGTTTGGTATGGAAGATTGCAAAGTGGCTGCAACACCTGCAGTACCTGGAACTCATTTAAGGAAGTCGGAGGACAAGCCAGATGAGAGAATTCCTTATCAGAATCTTATTGGGTCATTGATGTACCTGGCGGTTTGTACCAGACCAGATATTACAAATGTAGTTAGTTCCCTGAGTCAGTTTAACACCTGCTACGCCGAGGAACATTGGTCAGCTGCTAAAAGGGTGTTGAGGTACTTGAAGGGCACAAAGAATTTCGGAATTCACTACACAAGGAATCGTGATGTGACTAATAGTCTTCAAGGCTATGCTGATGCAAGTCATGGTGGCGATTTAGACAGGAAATCTTGGACGGGTTTTGTTTTTACATCTCAAGGAGGAGCTATTTGCTGGCAGAGTGTCAAACAACGCACCATAGCTTTGTCGACTGCAGAAGCAGAATATGTTGCCTTAT